TATCAATTTACACAATTTTTTATCAATAAAACCTTAATTTTTTATCAATAAAACCTTAAACCTTAATTAAAACCTTAAAACCTTAAGTCCTAATATCACGTTTCCGATTTAGTAATAAAGATCAAACTACTTCATCAGAGAATCATTCAAGAATGGGAATATATGTGGGTTCCTGGGTGCCATTCGAATTTCACTTTTACCGTTAGATTTTCTTTCAAGTTGAAGGAATAAATTTTAGTCAAAGAAATTTGTTATTCGACTATCCTAGTTTGCAGCATAGTAAATTTGCAATATTTCAGTTTCGAAATATTTTTACAAGCAGAATTTTGAATTAAGTTGGAACGATTCATTTATGCCAGCAGTGAGGAGCGAAGCATAATGCTCGATACCAAAATGATATTTTTAGGTAACAGCCCCTCTACTTTTAAAAATTTGCATTTCACTAGGACATGAAAATCAGACCGAAAAAGCGTCAAATTATCGTGAATTATCTGAAAAATATTTCTCTCAATGCAAAAGTTTTTAATCAAAATTAAGAAAAAAAAGAAAATTTGCAATTTTCTAGAAATCTTAAGCCGAATTTCTGTTCAATTCGTTATCTTCGTTATCTTCTTATTTAAGAAGTCAAAATTCTTGAATTAGCTAAATTGGCGCATTGGACGAATTTGCAGCAATCACGATCTGTGATATGTTACGACACAATAGATAACACATTGCCTGAATCGCCTTGATTTTGCGAAATGAATTTTTCCTTAGCTATTTCATTGTTTTGTGAATTTTAATAAACAGCGTGAGAATAGGTTTGATTTATGTCTCTTTAAGGCTTAAGCTTATCATCAATCCCAGTGTTGAAAGAAAACCATCTACACTTTTACCATCGAGTGATTCATCTTAATAATTAGTAAAAGTAACCAAACCAGAAAAAGTGAGTAGTGTTAGAAGAAGAATGAGGAAAAAAAAGGAAGATTGAAAATCGAAAAACGTTGAAAAGCGTGAAAGCCCGATGTTCGCTGCTTCGCTTCATTGGTGAACTTTGTTCATCATACAAATAAATTCAAATAATTTCTTGTTTAATTTCCCTCATTAGCAATGGACCTTATAGAAGAGTCAAAGTCATTTACCTATACGATTAAAATCTATTTTGTTTTGTTTATCTTTTATCAATTTACAATTCTAAAGCTTAGTTTATATGCAGAAAATTTGCAGATTGCCAAGATAGAATTACGATATTCTATTCAGTTATTTGATACAAGAGAATTATATAAAGAATGATTGCTGCAGCTGGTAGGCTCCCTCTCATATTTCCTAAATAAATTTACTAAATAAATTCACGCTTTTCCTATGGCGTTTAATGTTTAAAAAAATCTGTACCGCTAGTAGCAAGCAAGAGATTTTTTCTCTACTTTGGATTAATATTAATTGGCGGCTAATTAACGTACGTCTTTCATCGTACAGCTATTGGTTAGGATGAATCCGAGCTGCCCTATGAAAGACTTATGTTGGTGTTCAGCAAATCGAATTATTACTATTTTGATGGAATTTTTTGTGGTGCATCCGGTTTTATTTTAAACTTTTCCACTGTATAAGCACAATAGATAATGATTCAGATAATCTTTTATTGAGGCAATGGTTCGGCTCCTGTCTCTAAAAGGAATAAACTTATCAAATCTGGCTAGGATCGGCCTGGACTTTCATCACAAATAGCTACCAGATAAAAACTATTCAGAAAGCCGGCGATATTGAATGCTAACCACAATTCTTCCACTATAGATGAAATATTATTTTTCTGAAAGTTTTCCTTTGAGAAAATTTCATATTTGAATTTCTGTCAATGATAATTTCCCTTAAAATGACCAGATTCCGAGTCTAGGTGCTTAAAGCAGCAATAAGAGAAGTTATAAGTCCTTGCCCAAGTCTATTTTCTTTTTATACAATTTTGTAGCCGTTTAGATATGAATTTATCGTAACTCATTTTATCTTCTGAAATATAATATATCCTTTTAAAATTTGTTAATTTCTCGTATGACCTTTAAAGCATTTATTCATCAAATCTTAAGTCCAAAAGTTGGAAAAATTCTTTCAGTGTACTAGGTTGATTCCATTCAGTGTAACAGTATCAGAAATTTTTGCCAGGGAATTTTACCTTGGCGAAAGAAATATAGTTAGGTTGCTTGCAACCGGATTTTTAATGATTTGCTCTTGTTCAAGAAGTGATTACGCACGCTGATGCTTGAGATAATAATCTCATTATAACCATTCTAACTATTCTCAACTTATTTATTTATCTATTTAGATGAGCAAATTTGCAATTACCTTCTTTCTTTTCACAGCTCTCACCATTAACTGGTTAGGCTGGCTCCGCTGGCTACAAGGATAAAACATCTCCAAATTGCTTGGTCCGACGTTATCGCTAGTAGCAATAGAAGCCCTTCCTTTTCCTCGTAAGTCCAAATATCGCTGGTTCCCCTATGCGTTCAAAGCAATTCAATTCTGACCGTATCAGTCCGGATCTTGATTGGTCCTCCTCGCTTTTGATGCCATCCAACACAGAGCTTAGCAACTAAAGAATTATGTGCCAATTCTTGTGGTGAAGAACGTGCTCTAACCAGTGAAGACGACGCTCTGTGATAACATCATTAATACAGGTGGTAATTGAGCGAAGGTGTATACAATCATGTACGATTTTATCCGCTCAACGGATCCGCAAAATACATCTTAAAAATGATCAAAGGTCAAAGACTGATTGGTTCTTAATATCTTCCACTTTCATTGGTCATGTTTCGCAGCCATATGGCAAGGTCGGGCGAACTGCAATTATATGGATGCGGATTTTCGTCTTTATGGTGATTTCGCAACAGTTCCATAAAGATTTCATCAACCGGAAAAATATATTTCTAGATATCGTTATCCGGGTTGCATTTTCATCCTTTGCCTGGCCATTTGAGATTAGAGTGGATGCGAGGTATTTAAAGCACTTCTTAATCGACAATGAATTGACAAAAAAAGATATTTTGTTAGTATCTTGTATATAAGACGAAAACACTTTCGTTTTTTATTTACATTGACTTTGAGTCCATTTCTCACTGCAGTTGTTGACACATTATTTGCATTTTATTGTAAGTATCAGTAATCAGCAAACAGGACTTCATTATCAATGCATTCAAGATCTATGATACGATGCTCTAGACTGATTTGGGCACCTTTTGAGTACCGGCAAACGGTGTCCATTACCCAGTCTATCGCATAGTTGAATATTGTAGGGGAAAGGACGCAGTCTTGACGGACACCAGTTCTTATTTCGAAGGAGTCTGTCAGTTCTCCATATACACAGATGTGCTAGGGTATACTGATGAAATGCCTTTATGAGCCGAATGATCTTCTCTGGGACACCGTTACATTCCATCACTTTCCAGAACGCTATCAAGCGAATCGAAGACGGCTGCAAAATCGATAAAACAAGCAACGGTGGATTGCTGGTATTTGAAGTGTGATGTTCCACTCTTCTTAGCGTAAATATCTGCTAGCACAACGGCGTTCCGGCCTGAATCCAGCTTGGTTAGGATTCTTTTTGCTATCTCGTATTGTCATGAGTCTATTCAGAAAGGAAGCGAACATTTTACCGGAGATGTCCAGTAGCTGATTCCTCGGTAATTGTCGCAGTTCGTCCAATTACCATTTGCAATAATTAATTATTTAAATACTTGCTTTTGCTTATTTAGCTTTTCTTTTCAGTGATATCCAACTGGCGATTTCTTTTTGATAATTTCATTTAACTTATGTTTAAATTCGATCTATCTTCAGTGAAAGCAGTAGGCACAGGATAACCAAGTGGACTCAGATTAAGAGGCAAATGTTCGAATTCTGTCGAAAACAGAATTCGAACATTTGCCTCTTAATAATTCTAACAACTATTGCTTATTTTTTCTTACTTTTCCGAAGTAATTTTGCTAATATGTAAAATTTCCAATCAATTCAATAAAAGCAGAAATTTCCTAAATTTCTTAAAATTTTTGAAGAAATAATTTAATAAAATTAAATTTAATGAATGAATTTAATGAAAAGTTAAAATCGTCTTTAAGTGAAACTTTGAAAGATACGAAAGATCATTTTTATAGGCCAATAACGCTGTAATAAAGCGAAAAACACAGTTGGTTCGGTTTAAAGTTAACTCGAAAATCACATTATCCGCGTTCATTATTCACCTCAATGTTGAAAACATTTAACTGGTGTGTTTCTAAAATTGCTATTCTCAAATGGCTACAAATGGTGAATTTTTTAAATCATTTTTTATGATTCGCAATATTCTTCTAAATATTTTAATTTTTTCAAAAAAATTACTACATTAAGCAAAATTAGAATTCAGCATCTAGTAGATTTTTAAATCCTTCGATAGTTGGTATTTTTCGAAATATAAAAATATGGCAAAAATTTGGTTTTTTTTATACTGATGTGTGGAAGCTTTTTTTCATCTATTTTAAAAATTATTTTCTAAAAATTATTCAAATTTTTATTTGCATTTTCAAAAGTGCGAATTAGTCTATATTCAGACAAATTAGAAATGATGAGCACTGATAAAATTAAAAGAAGAGTAACTTTCAGTCAAAGTTACTCTTCTTCTAATTTTATACTGATAATTTATATAAATATTTTTGATATTATAAATTTCCAAAAATCATTGAATAGCATTCAAAATGTTTGAAATGAAATTAAATGATTTTATTTATCCACTTATTACTTTCAAATACAGTTTGTGGGCGACACGTTGACTGATAAAATTAGTAAATTACTCAAAAATTATTTTATGTTGTACCTATTTTCTTAAAGATTATAAAAAGAGCCTTGTCTTACTACTTTTTAAATACTAAATTTCTTAAATATCCCTGAGTTTATTTGACAAATTCATTCTTTTCTTTTATTATTATCATTTAAACTGTTTAACTTTTAGTGAAATTTTTTCATACAAGAAACTTTCATGCAAGCATATTTCTTCATGTTTGCACATGCAAAAATTTGTCGGCTGCATATGCATTTCATATCAACATCTTAAAATCATAAAATTAGACTTTCATAAACTTTCAGCATTGAAATTTCTAAAATTCCTTTATTTTCAGCTATCCAGTCTCCTAATTGTCGTGTTTTTAACTGATGGTCATTTACAGTGGTTTTTTTACTCCGTTGCACTTTTTTGCTGCATTGCACTCTTAATCATTTCTTTTTTAACAATAATTGCTTGCTATTTAGAGTTTCAAAATATAAATGGCAGAATTTCGTATCTTCAAATTGTACGTTTTTAAAAAAATTTTGTTTCAAAAATAGCAATCGCCGATATATTTGGAATTTTTGCTTAGTGAAATTGTAATTTTCATGGAAAATTTTAAAAACTTCCTTATTCATTATTTTTATTTCAATTTATTATTTTTATTTCAGTTTATTACTATAATTTCAATTTATTTTTTAATTTTATTATTGAAATTTTTTGTTTATTTATTTGTCAAATTATCAAGCAGAGCTGAAACCATGAATTTAATATTAATAAACGACAAGAAACACGAAGCATTCATTTGCAACAAAAGATAATAAAGGTAACATAGGATAAAATATTTGTGAAAGCTGAAAATCGATTTCTTTTTCTAAAATTGTTCACCATTTTTGGTTCAGCTCCGCTGGCTAATTGAAGGAAAATTTTGCAAGAAAATCATTTGGCAATAGAAATGCAGATGAATCGCCAGCATTAGCGTGACGGCTTTAGAAACAGGCTTGGAATAGAATCAGAGCATTAGTGAGTGTTTCGATGTAGGGCCAACACAACCCACTGAGCATTTTATCTCTGAGTACCCACTATGGAATTTTGGAATTTTTATGTTTTTTGTTTCAATTTCCATATATTTTTATTTTAATTCAAGTTTTTCGCATTTTAGCTTGATGAAATTTATTACTTTTATAAGAAATATTAGAGGAGATATAAAATAAATAAAAAATAATCTATATCTATAAATATCTATAAAATATCTAAAAATATCCTCGTAGCCGTCCAAATATAATGGAATATAATCCAAATATAATATTAATATACCAAATTTTTTTAGGAACTATTCTTCAACTTTTTCGCAGTTTTTCTTTGTGTTTTACTCACAGGTATTTTCATTTATGATGTAATCAGCATGTTATCAGGCAGTTTCAATCATCATAAATATATGCCTCCGATAAATATCGGTCGAGATGGCTGGCGAAATCGCATGATTATTTGTTCGGTTATAGTTTTTCTTCTTCATATTGAAAAAAAAAACTTGCTTAGCCTTTTCTTAATTTATTATTACAATTTTTTGCTGGTGCTTCCTCTGTTTTATTTTTATTCGATCAAACTGATTACTGCGCCATCTTATCCAAAATCTTGTGCTTCAGAACTATGGTGAAGCAAACTAAAATTTTCCTTGCTTTTTCCTTCATATTCACGGTGAAATTCAGATGGAAATTGAACTGCATATTTATCGCTATTATAACTGCGTGGAAGCTAGGCTTGAATAATCTATCACCAAAAGAGAATCCAACTTTAGAATAATTCTCTCTGGCAAAAGAGTCGAAATAGTCACTGGATCCTGCTAAAATAGAAATGGTGATTGCTACAAAGAGAACAAATAGCTCTGAAAAACTAAATCTAAATCTTTTTCCTCTATTCCAAAAATTATGAGCGTATTCGATCTAAAATCCTAACTGTAGGAAAGAAGTAGTTCTCAAATTTTTGCATCCTTTTTGCTACATGCCAAAGCAAAATTCGCTTCCTATCTGATAGCATGAATATCAATTGGAAATACTGCTCGTGTGGCTCTGAAATACTGAAGTTTGCCCATTCCTTTTCATGTTCATTTCTTTTTCAAATTCTCAATTTAAAAAGTCTCGCAGAGAAAAAATTTCCAGTCAATTGAGAATCGTTACACTAAAGTGGTTTAGTGACTGAAATAAAAATAAAAAATTAATTTAATTATACAATATGGGCGCAAAATGCATCTGATACAAATTACACAATGACTCTCAGTTGCTAGATTAATTATCCAAAAACATATATCAATCATAAAATTTGAACTGAATCATTCTTATAGATATTTATGGCCTTGGATGCTATATTTTATCTCTTTGCACTAATCGTAATCAAACTGGATGGCGTCGACTAATCTATGCATATAGTTTATTTTCTTTCAATAATTTGATTTCACATCATTTGATGAAAATAAATGAAGTGATTATAGATTATTACTGTATTGCACCCACTTCCATATATCATTTGTACAAATATGTTTCAAATCACCTTTAGCTCAATAGAAATTCCTACAGTTCTTTTTTTTTTAGATGGAAATATTGCCATTCGTGCCAGTGAATAGAATTACGCTCATTCTTGAACCATATAATGTTTCACATGTAAAAAATTTGTTTATTTCATAAATTCAAAAATTGTTGGCAATAAAAGATTGCATTATTCTTTTTATTATTTTAACGATTGGTGGTTGATGAAGATTTTTTTACAAGAAAGTGAATTCACGAAGCGATGGTCAAAAAAAATTATGCAGAAATCGTTAACGGTATCTTTGGGTCAGCAGTTCTTTCTTTCTTATTCCTATGATTTTTATAAAAAAATAGGCTTTCAAATTTCTCAGTTATTCCTCTCGATTTTCGATATAACTATAGTAAAGACTTAGTAGTGCCTGAAGAATTCTTTCTTTTTTCGCCTTCTAACTCTAGTATCATATTTGGTTTCGCTGACTTCATTGACTTCCGAGCTAGGACACTTCGTAATGAGTCACAAGGAGTGATAAAATAAAAAAGGCTTCAGCACTATCCGGATTTCATTTTTAAGCATGGACTTAATCGAACCAACTTAATCATCCTATTTTGGGATTATAAGATTTTTCTTGATTATTTTAGTAATAATTTTTTCTTCACGATTTTAGATATATTATTTTATTCTTCATAATTATTAGCATCTTTTCTATTCAAATTCAATGTTATAAAAGAGGAAACAAATCAATCAAAGAATCAAAAATCATGAAGAAGAAAAAATTACCTATTATCAGTCAAAGAAAATGGATTCACCTTCAAGAACAATTTCCAAAAACTGAAAGATGTTATCAGAAAATTTCCAAGGTTCCAAAAATAAAATTTTGAAAATTCCCTATGAACCCAAAGAATTTTAAATGTTCCATGCGCCATCATGAAAGAAATGTGTCAAAAAATTTTTTTCTTTTTCATCTTGGAAAATGCCTTTATTGCGAAAGGAAAATCCGAGGAAAAAAAAGTCACGTCCGCCCGCCACATCAATCTGATTTCTAAAAGACTTTTACACTGGCATTCGCAGTGAGGGTAATAAATTTAGACGTCTTAATCCCCCATTCACCGTAACATCAGGATGCGGCAACATCAGACAAATTATAATCTCCGTAAATCTTTATAAATCTTTATAAGGAAGTTTTTAGAAACGAACGGACGAAACAGATTCATTTGATATGCACATTCCAATAAAACGTGAATCCAAAAGAAGCTCGGAGGTGAATATTTTAGAACTGCCAATTATTCAGTCATTTAATTAAGAGCATAACTTAAATTTTTTTTTGATTTCTTGAAAGGAGGACCCAATCTTGCATCCATCTTCACGTGTATTTCTAAGTGACTCTTTCGAAGAAGAATCGCTCCCTTCCAAAAACTGGAAGAAATTATTTTCAGTGAGTTCAGTGAGCAACCAGCGAGTTCGGAACTGCTGGTTGATGGTATTAGACGATTTATTGTACAAAGAATTATTGATAAATATATCATTAATTATTATAGTAAATTATAAAAAATTATAATTTTTAAAAACTCTTGTTTAACTCTTAAAAAACTTGTTTCTACTGTTTGATTTAATTAGGATGATTAAATCTTAATCTTAATCTTAAAAATCTTCAGATAAAATCAAGTTGCCCAATTGCACGGAATCGAGATGATTACAAAACAATACCAATAAATTTTTTAATATCATCAAGCGTTTCTGAATCAAGTTTTTTTTCGAAATCGAAATCAAAAAAGGAGAAAAAGAGATTTTTGATTTGATTCAAATTTGTGATAAAAGTATATATATTTTTATATTTGTGATAAAAATATATTTTCTGATAAAAATATGTAGAATCATTGTTAATTGAAATCCGTTAAATATGGATTGCAACAAAAATTGAACTATTAAAAGTTTTGATTAAATTTTATATTGGAAAATTACGGATTTAACAAATTCGGATTTGTTAATCAATATATTTCTTCGAGATTCATTTGAATTTGTTCAGATGAAGAGATAAAAGGATGAAAGTAATGAGGTTCATCCAATAAGCAGAAAAAAATTCAAATAATATAGGCCTTCCATTATATGTGAACATTGTCGCTTGATATCCTCTGGATTGAATACTTCTAATAATTGATCAATTCTGAATTCTACTGGACCGTCCCATCCATTAAAATTAATCATTTCTCAATTTTTTTATCACTTCATAATTTTTTTTTCTTAAAGAGTCCTCATCATTACTGGTTAACACTCGCTCCACTGCCTTATCCCATTAGGCAATATTCCAGGGAGTCCCTTGGTGATAGAAAAACAGGTAGGCTGCCAGCATCAACTTATTCATAATTATTGCCTTACGAATTATTCATATGAAAACATTTTAAGATTTTAAGATTTCGAATCTTCATCGACAGTACCTTGTAATTAGACGTGAAATCAAAATAGCGCCAGTGACCCACTTGCACTTCTATCGCTAGTGGTTAGTGAAGCTAAACCGAAAATGCTAAAGCTCATATTAAAGAAAAAAATTAAAATTAAATGGTTCTCAGCCCTTTAACTATGTTTTGCTAAAATTACTTTTTTTTTGCAATTTTTTAAAAGGATTTTACGGTTAAATTTTGCGGATCCATTTTAAAGAAATTTGCTAGTCAAGTGAAAATTATTATTAGAGATAAATTCCAAGCTGATAAATCCTCCTGCATATAATAATGAACAATTTAACGAATCGAGAAATTTTTTACAGAATTTTAGTCTCTCTTTGCTTTTCCTTGTTATTTTCTGAAGAAAATTTCTTTTAATGATAGATATTAGAACTACACTGTTGGCTTATTAAATGATCTAGTTTTTTAAATTAATTGAAATTAATTTGATCACATGCTTGTTCTTGTGTGGAGATTTTCTTTCGATAAGTTTCTTTGTCAGTTGCGAAACATGTGCCACTTCCGTTAGTATCAATAATTATGAGAATCATGAGGAATTCAATAATTGCACTTACATAGAAGGCAAATAAATTTCATTAACTTCAATTTTTTGTTGAAAAGTGAATTTGGTTTATGAATAATTATTAGAAGTGGAAAATCAAAAATTCCATATTTCTAAGAAATATAAATATATTTATGATTAGTAAACAGATAAGTTTGCTGGTACTTTTGATATCTCCGGAGTTTTTCTTTTCATTAGGGATACTCCAGATTAAGGGAAAATTCGTAATTGGTCATCAAATAAATATACTTTTGGCAATTTCGTCAATTTTCTATTTATTCAATTTATTATTTATTCCTATCCCACAAAATATTATATATTGTGTAGCATGAATTATTTTCTGGCGCAGTAATCTGCAACATCTCATTTGTTCAGGCAATAACTGTAAAATAAAATAAAATAATTGTTCAGATAATAACATCTTAGATGAAGGCAAGCGAGATTTATGCAAACATTTCATTATATCATGAATGATTTAAGAATTTTTGCATGAACCACATAATAATCATTGAAATTATGAGCAACGACTAGACTGCGATTTCAGTAACAATCAGAAGAAATTAAATCCAGGCATGTAGGATCAGAAATTATTCCACAAACGCAAGATGTCATCCAATAGCAGTATTTCGCTATAAATACTGTGATCAGTGTAGGAAAAAAATGTCAAATTTTTTGCCAAAGAATTTCAGTTCATCCTTTAGAAATACTAAAGGAATATAAGATAATATAACATAAGGAATATAAGAATATAATATGAGAAATATAAGATTTTTAACTGAATTTCATAATAAATACCGAAAGGATTCAATGCAGCTGTTAGAAGAATACAGCGATTACACGCTTCACGCACGCATTCTACGTTATTTTCATTAAGAGCACAGTGATTTTGGATATCTGATAATGTGCATTCTGAAAATCAAATTTATTAGAAAATATTTGCTAAATTTGTCGTTTTTCCTTAATTCACTGGAATTTTAAGCTAGAAAAGTGATGATTAACTGATAAAAAAATATGTGGAAAACTCCACCACCAATGTCCAATTCAAAATTATGCTGCAAAAAGAGTTAAGCAATAAATATGATGAGATTGAGATGGCATGAAGAAAATTGGATCTAAAATATTTTTATTACAATGATAAGATTAACTTTCACTTCAATTGAGATTAAACATCTTGGGCTCAATTCGTCTTTTTGACATGAAGAAAGCATTCATTAAGAGTGAAATTATATTTAAGAAAACTTCTATTCCTAAATTGTTTTCAGCGCACTTCCTCGTTCCTAATAGTTAGTGAAGTCGGCCATACCAGAAATAACGAGTGCTACTAAGTGCTGATCGTTTGTGACATAAATACCGTCAACTGCATAAATAATTCATTTTGTTGGAATTTTATTCTTCTATTTCCTCTCTTATATCAAAAAAAAGTTTATTATAAATTTTAAAAGAATGAAAATCCATTAAAAATAAAACTTTACCAAATGTATTTTTTTCCGGTTCAACGAAACTTTTTTTTGCAATTTTTAAAGCATTTATAAAATTAGATGTTATCGCTAGATAAATAATGGCTTGAATTGCTAATGGATATAATTCCATACTGAAAATCATTTCTCTGGTTTTAATTATCATCGTATTTTCGCTATAATTTCCAGCTATGCTTTAGAAAGTTTCATCGCTATTTGCTAGGTTATTTTTGATCGAACACTGTCATAGTTCTATTCAATCAACAATAAGAAAAGCAAAAGCAAATGAAAAACAACTTTGCAAAATTGAATGGATTGAATCATATGTTCAGCATTGACGAATGCTAAAACTTGGACAAAGTGGGTAAAATTTGCAGAATTGATAAGATTTGATAAGAATTATTCGCTAAATTAATAAAAAGTGCAGAAAATTTTCAAGAATCAAATATGCCAGGAATTTAGCCATAATCATAATCATAATCCTTACAAATTTTAATTTTATCAAAAGCCCTATACAAGATAGGAAATTCGTAGTGCGACCGAATTGATCCGAGTAAAAAAAGTTTGCTAGGAATTAGATTTGACAATAGTCTGATTTTAAAATAATAAAGTTTGATAAATGAAGACATTGTTACCGAATAAAAAACAGCCAAATCTAATAATAATTAGAGGAGCAGGAGCAGGTGAATAAAAAAAGCAAAATACCGACTAGTGATGTTTATCCAAGTCTAGGAGGAAAAATTCATCGATTATGTCAAAAACTTTTGAATATTACTTCTTTCGCATGGACTGTTGCCATTTTCCAATTATTAATTAAATTTCGGTCACGAAAGAATGGCTTTCTTCTATTCTCTGGAATTTGCGTATAATTATTTTCTTGTGGAGAATATAAGAAAGTTTTTGCTTGAAATGCGAGGATTATTATTCTTTGTCGAAAAAAATTAGAATTCTTGATTAATTCAGACTGAATCAAATGCAAGCAAACAAAGAATACTAAAAATATTACCGGAAATTTCTCTTGGAATAATATCTGAAGATTGCCATTTTTTCATTTGTTAAATGAATTTCTCAATTCCTCTAATGAATAGTAAATAGTGTAAAAATTAAAACATTTTGCAGATGACCTAAGTGAAAGATGGCTAAGGAAATTTTGCAATAAGTAGTTAACCAGTTTTCAACCAATAGCACACAATTTTTTTGTTGGAGTAGTTAAACAGTTGAGCTTCTCAATTATGGTGCTCATTAAAACAATTTGCAAAAATAGACGCACACCTATTTGTCACTTTCAGTATGCTAACTTACTAAATGCTAACTTACTAACAAAAGTGCTATTCAATTATTCAAAATGTTTTAAGTGGAGGACAAGCGAGTGTATTGGCTGAGATTGCCGTTTTGAAATAAGGATTCCACTCATGCTCCACACAAGAACAAGCATGTGATCAAAAGAACTGGTACTAACAACTTGTATTTCTATTGCCAAACTCCCTTACAAAATTTCTAACCGTTAGCAATCAGTGGCTAGCTTTGCCAGAAATGGTGAGTGTTGACCACTTTCTTTTATTTTTTGTTAAATAAATTGTGTCAGATTGAACCATATAAGTTCGATTTCTATCTCTTAAAATGAATCCCATTTCAAGTGAAATGAATTCGGATGTATACCTTTAGTTCTATTCCTAAGTAATTTGACAAGGAAATCTCTTTTCAGTAGCTGTAGCTAACCAAATTTACATTGATAAGCGCCATAAGAACTTATGACATATGGCAATTAACTGTTTCAATATAATCAATGCTCCTTTTAATTTAGAGAAATGCATCACTTAAAATTCGCTTATTAAATAGAAATAATTCAAGATAAACTAAGCGATCTTTTAGATTTAGCGATTTCGGAATTTTCAGAATTTCTAAAAATTTTCGAATTACGATCATCGAAATTTTTCTTTATGATACTATAAAATATATTTTCAAGCACTTCAGACGAATCAGTGGCCATCACCAACACTAATCAATGAAGTGATAAAAATTAATGAGATTTAATGTCAGAAGGATATACAATATAAGGATATATATCTTAAGATATTTTTAAACCAATAATGCCCATAACTCTCTTGTGATAAAAATCTGAAATCTGAATTATTCACTTCATTTGCTTTTGCATAATTATTTTGAGAAATTATTTTATATTATATTATTTTATATTAGAGCCTATAAGAATGGTGGGCATATCTTTTGGTATAAACGCCAAATTGTAAAAATGTTTATGGAAACCACAAGAATGGATGAGATTTCGTTTTAGTCAACAACATAAAGTGGAACTTTATAAAGTGAAAGTGATGAAACATGTGGACATAATGACTTTCAACAGCTTAACACTAATTGCTTGCAATCATGTTATCTAATACTCAGTAAATGAATGTTGATTTAAGTGTTTCGTTGCCAAAGGCTACGAAAGACGCATTGACTTTTGAGACCGTAGATTTACTCCAACACTGTTTTCACCGCTGTTCAAATTTGCATACATTTATGAATTATGTAATAACTTTTAGCTAATAGTCTAAATAACTATAAAGAGAATTAAATAATTTTAGTAGTGAAATTTCTTTAGCAAATAAGCGAACAAATGTTGTCAATAAAGTTCAGCAACTGCAAATTTACTCTAGTCAATTGGATTCAGTGAACCTATCTATTTTTCTACCCCCAATAGCTATACCTCTTAACGAGATTAAACTTAAAAGATTCAGATGGTACACATCTGTATTTCTATCACCAAATGGTTCTCCAATGGAAATTTTAAACAATATTAAGCGGACCTGAACATAGCAGCTAACCTAAATAGATCAACATTTTAAGAGCTTACATTTTACTGGCAATTTCCCATTAATAAATACATTTTTAAATAATATAAAAAATATATTTTTTAACTCAAAAATTGATGCAAAAATTCAAAAAATGACTTCGTGCGAATATTTTTCAAAAAGAAATGAAGCGTTTATAGTTAAAACCTTTTGCAGCCCAGAAAAATATCTATGCTTATACTCATTTAAACTCAATAAAATTACTAAATACCATAAAGCATATGGCTTTATCCGCGAAAAATTAAGTTACAATATTAAATCAAGTACGTTGATCGTAATTTAAATTTTTTCAGCAGATTTTATAATTCTCATTTTTCGATTAGATTTTTATCATTGTTTATGTAACACTCTCTCCCACAAGCCGCATATACAAATGTATATCAAAATACAAAACAAAAATTTATGAAAGCAACTGTTTAACGTTCATAAGCCATAAGCCCAACTCCAGTGGCTATCAGTATGATCAGAAATTTATGATATTCTTTCGTAAGCAAGCTCAGAAAATTCAGCTAAATTCACAACTCGGTTATTAAATTAGCTACATATACCATATAAGCCATATATGCGCCAGGATAACGCAATCAAAGTTCGCGATTAATGTGGAAGGCAAGAATGAGTGTTCGAATCGCAGCCGATCCTCAACTTATGCTGTAAAGGTCTTTGGGCAAAGAGGCACTAAAAGCTTATCTGCTCTACCTCATTATAAGAGTGTTGCATAATAATTTATGCCGGCTCGCACATCGCTTGGATTAACAAGGTTCACTTCAGACTTAGAGGACTATCTGATGATAATTAAGCATACATTCTTTTCATACATTCACTTCTGTTAGCTAATTTATAAAAAAATTACCTTATCTAAAAATTTTGATACCCTTAAAAGAAAAAAGTAATAATTTTTCAATTGTAAATTTCAAAATCTATACAATTTTTTATGTAATTTGCATAAAAAATAACATTGTAAGCTCAACCAACATATGGGAAAAAAATCTCATAGAATCGATTCGGAGTGCGCAAAAAACGAAGGTTGCAAACGACAAATGAGAATTTCTAACGACTAATAATTTCCAGAATTCAACGCAACATTCTCCTTCTTTAAATTGACCCTATACGTCTCGTTCCCTTTATTACACAACTGTAATATATTGTTGCTATGATTCAACGGTAAATAAAATTTTCCCTTTCGATTCAAAGAAACTTTTGTGATATCTCCACAGCAAAGCAGAGCAGTTGACATGATGCAGAAAATTATGAATAAAATGGCAATTAACCATCGAGAGTGACTATTGAGGCTCGGTGAAGTACATCATATAATATATTTGAAGATGCAAATAGAGTCTTCGCAACAATTGCTAGTGCCACTTAAACAAAAAACAATGAATTGCAACCACTGTAATTTTTGGTTACAGAATCATGAAGAACAGCAATATTACTTCTGGAAAGCAAGACTGGAGAATAAAATCAGGGCACAACGTAAAGAGGTTAATTAGCTGGCATAACTAAAAAAGGATGTAGTGATTAAGGATAAGAGTCGGAGCCGGCTGTTGAAAAATACAAGAACACCTGAAGTCTCAAAAACTGCTAAATAAAGGGCCACAATGCTGGTCACCTGGCTTATACAGTAGAAAAGCAGAGACCAATGAGATAAAGATTAAATGCCCTGTGCTCCAAAGAATTATTAAAGTACCTTCAATTTTAGAACGATAATATGGTAGCAACAGGACAATCAATAGCAGAAAAAATAAAAAAATACTGGAAGAATATGTAAATGAAGATTCGTAAAACCAATGTAAAGTGGCTGCAAAAGCTGAGAACAAGTTATATCAACCTTCCAAAGCTGCCTTCCAGAACCAGTCACCACTATACTTGAAGACATCCAATAACAGACCTAGTCCAGACATGGTTCACATCATAAGATTCATAAAAAAAGGGCTCTACCGCATCAAACTCGAGGTACAAACTATACAGAAATTTCAAAAATCGTCCAATACATAATGACAGGTTATAAGATGCAGTCAGGAATATACACTGAAATGCATAACTAAATAGCTGGCATTGTCTACAGGAATAACTACTCAGCATATGGCTTAGCCCCAATCAAGACTAGATGGAGATTCATCCAAAAGTAGTAGAGAATAATAAAGCGAAGATCTTATGGGATCATCTTCATCCAGACAGACAAACAAACAAGAGGATGAAAGAAGAACTAGAGAAGATGTGGAAAATAAAGACCAAACAAACAAGATACTCTGGCACAAGAAGAAAAAATCAGCACTGGTAATATAGCAATGCCAAGTGAGAAAAAGATTAGGAAGAAGGAATGAGAGAAGATAGAGAAATGCCAGGGGCTGAAAGAGGAACTAGAGAAGATGTGGAAAATGAAGAGCAAATCACAGTGGTAATAGGATTAATAAAGGCTGTGAAACTAGAAACTAGAAAAGTAGCCTCCCAGATTCCAGGAGGAACGTTAGAGAGTTCTATTAAGATAAGTGCATTGCTAGGTACAATTAATTAACATACAGCGCAGAATTCTCAAGCTTTCAGACCTCTAGTAGAGGATCTAAGGTTGGGGATAACCCATACTATAAGGACTTTTTTTTAATACCACGTATATGCAAAAGGGATGACTGTCTTATTTCGTTTTTTTTTAATGAATCCTTCTACAGATTAAACTTCCCTTTCGAAATCCTTAATCTAAAAGCAAAATTAATTAAAAAAAGCAAAATTTTAAGAAATTTTCAACAAAATTTTGTGGTATTATAAGATAAATTTTTCCACATATTGTTCTCATAAATATAAATTAAAAAAATTTTTAAAAACAAATGATTATTTTAGGAAAATTACCATGGAAAGAACAGAATTGTATATAATGAATATGACTCAACAACAGTGAATTGAGTGCCATCAGGATCTTTTAACAACAGGTTTGCTCCTATTCGGAATAGAATCCGAATGAATGAGCTTACAACTACAAAAATTTATGCAATTTAATTAGTTAAATTGGATGATGCCGGTGCTTTCGGTGGCACTCATTATGCTAGCAAAACATTAAAGATGACGACACAAATTTTGAATTTTGCAAGGAAATTATTCATAAGAAAAATAAAAGACGGAAAATATCTCAGTAATATTAATTTGAGCACCAAATTATAGTGATATGCGTCAAATCAATTGTATCGAATGATCAAGTAAGAAATCGATATCCTCAACATAATCAAATGTTCGTTAGATAGAAGAAATGATGGAAGGACATCGGAAAATATTTGCGTGTCGTTTGGAGAAACCCATTCAGTGTAACGTCGTTGACTGCAGTGCGATTTTCCCATGATATTTTCATGGCAATTTTTTGCCAAGAAAATATACACTTTTTTTCATATTCACTCACATTATCGAGGTGATGAAGTAGAAAAAGCCATACGATATACTATCCCAAAGTTGGACTTGCACTAAGCTCCCTCGTCATGTTGCAATAGCTTTTTTCGGCTTTAAAGGTTAGAAGACTAAAACTTAGAAGGTTAAAAAGTTGTAAAAAGTTCGTCAAGCTTATTGCCAACCTCTTATAGAAATAACTAAAAAGAAAACGAAGAAAATATATGAGTAAGAATTATGAGGTTATAGTCATTTTAATATGCCTTAGATATGACAATTTTTTACAAGTCTTTCAATATGACGCGATAGAAAGCACTAAGTTGATTGGCTTCCGTTGGGGGTCGAGTTACACAGTTACACTTTTGTCATCAAGTGACTCCGTAAACTCCATAAAAACTTTTGCAATAACAGTAGAGCAAGCCAACCAGAAATGGTGATTATTCCGAAAATTAAATAGTTATTGCAAAAGCAGAAAAAAATGGAAAGAATTTTTCATTTTTTAAGGAAAAATTCATTCAAGGATTCAATGAATTTTTTTGTTTAATAACATAATTTGAATTATAAATGAAGCATTAGTTCAGGCAAAATTCTATCTCAAAGGTATTCCCCATAAAAATAAGTCCTTTAAGGATTTTCCGCGAGGTTTACTCTGTAACTATCCAGTTCTTCTAAATATTTTCCCAAGTTTTTTCTCTTCTCTTTTCTCTTTTTCTTTTTTCTCTTATGCAAGCATGAAAAAAATATGTTGCACTGTTGTACAATTCCAACAAATCAGCTTAATAAAATATTAAAAAATATTCATAAAATTATTTAGTTAACTGGTTAGCATTTCTCAAGCTCATTCAACTAGTTATTAGGATACTTCGGTGAGTCTCTTAGGGATAAAGATTCAGATTTTTTGTTGAACGGCATTCGTGGCAGAAGCAGGTGCCAAACCGCGATAATTAAAAATGGTAATCTAAATGATGTAACACTCGGCTGCGCTCTCCCTCTGACATGGTGATACTTAAATGATGTTGTGCTTCTGCTATTAAAGGCTATTATTTAAATTAAAGCAGCATTAAACTATTCAAATCAATTTGAAAATTCGATTTCTGACGCAATTTGGTGAAGACTACCACGCATAAAAAAAGGCGACATTAACCAAATATTTAGAATGATATAAGTAGAATTAGAGCATAAAATGGAATGGAATAAAAATAAATCTACAAATCTCTAAGGAAAGGTGTTTACTTAATTGAATGCAAAGTGGTTAACAGGAAAAAATATGCCACTCGCCAGAAAAAGAGACTGAACTTTGATTTGCTATAAATCCATTTATATAAGATAAAATTATGGATAATATTTCAGAAAAAATTGGTATAAAAAGTAAGTTTTCTTCCATTCAACGAGCAATTCAATAATCGGTTATAAATATTTTCAGCGGTACTCTTTTGTTAAAGTTCAGATTCTTTATTCATCATATAGCAAACCTCACATTGGACCATTTTTAGAGAGGAGTAGCCGAATAGCTTTTTTTAGATCATCATTTCGGATATCATTTCTCGGCCCCCACACGTTGTGTATTTAAAAATTGCGAGTGTCGCTGGAGGTATATCTATTTTGAAATTACAAAATTCATCCTATTTGATCCTACTGAAAATTAATAAAGTGAATCCGACCAGCAGTGCCAATATTTCGCATTCCTTGCATTTGTTTACTTACTGGTACCATTTCTTTGCTTACTTATTGAAATGCCAAATGTCAAAATGTCGACAGATAATGGCAAAATATCCAATTAGTTTCATTGTCGTTTTAATATTCCATTCAAATGCTGCCTTTATATCTTTGCATGAACTTGGAAGTGAGTCCATTATCTATCGTAATTGTTTTTCTAACTCCCCAACCAAATATACTTCCAAATTCATAATGATACTTCACTATGAGAGTGATTTATCAAATTTTTTATAAAATGCTTTCAACCAAATACTTCAGAATTTTCTTATTACTGCCATTATTTTATCATAGTTAATATTTTTAACAATTGTTTGCTATCATTTTATCTAGTTCAATATTTGCTTTACACGGAAATACAAAGCCACATTATAAAAATCAAGGTCTTAAATTAACTCATATCTATATAAAAAATATAGCAATGGACAAAAAACAAAGTACAGTGAATATATCAAAGTAAAAACATAATTATTATAAAAGAAAAGAAATCAAATCAGATTCCACATCCAGCTTATCCTATAGACAATGAATAGACACCACTAATCCAAAGTAACAAAATTTCTAAACGAAAGACGGTCATTAAATTAATATTACAGCAATTTTTGTACTCAAACGATATAATTAGCTAATTGAATAATATTCGATGTTAAAAAAATGAAAATTTTCCAAAAAAAAAGATATAGTCAAATGACAGATTTTTGGTCAAAAATGCGAATATTTTCGGCAAAAATATAAGAAAATTAGAGCATAGAATATATAAAATAAAATAATTAATTAATATGAAGAATTTCAAGAAATTTAAATAATCTAAGGGCATAGGAAATAATGAAATATCTTTGTTGAGGAATTCGTTTCATTTCTTTAACTTCTTTATAATTTAGCAAATTTTTCTTGAAATATTCATTTATTTTTGATTCATTTGGAATATAAATGGCATAATCACTGAAAATTTAATTTTATCAAGCATTTATTATAAAATAGACATAAACTAGCTTAATGGCTATTCGCTTATAACAGTGATAACAGTGATTACTATTTTTAGTTTTTTAGTAAATTTTGGAATTCTATTCTAATGACTTCGTTAAAATTTGAAGACTTAAGCGTCACATAATTCTTTTTCGAGCTTAGTTAACTTCAACTGCATTTTATTTTAATATAATTTAGATCAATCTTGGGTAATCAATCAGTATCTAAGAATAAAAATAAGTTTAAAAAATTCAAAAAAAAATTTTTTGGAATGTTTTGTTTTCCATCATAAAAAAAATAAAAATTTTCCAAAAAAGAAGATATAAAGAGGATAGAGAAAGAAAATAGTGTGTTCGAAAATAATAACATATTTTTGACCAAAAATGCGAATATTTTGAATAAAAATATAAACAAATTTTTTATAAAATTGAAAATAAATAAAATAAATATAATTATGAAATATAAATAAACAATACATATAAAGTGGACTTGGATTACAATATAAGGTAAAAGAATAAAGAATAAAAAAAAAACCTGTTTTCATGTGTTACTGATAATTCTGTAATGTATAAAAACGACAAAAAAGGACAAGCTCGAGAAAACCATTCCAATTCTGCATGACTTATCATGCATCCTCTCAGGTCGAGCAATTTCACCGAACCAAATAAATCATACGGTGTTCTAAAAGCAATGAGTCATTAAGTTTTAAAAAATTACGAAGTAATAAAAAATGTTTACATTATTTTATTCAGAAATTCATATCTTTTTTTACCAAAATTATTTTTGGCACCATAAAACTCTCGCATCTAATAAGAAACTTACCACCAAAAAATCGGAGTAGTTCTGGAAACTCCTCTGCATTTCTCTACCCAAATAACTATTTGTATCATCTTAGAAGAGAGAAGCTAAGTGAGTACTTACTCGCTTATTTGCTTTATTACCTTTACACGTTGACTTTATCTAGTGGTAATTAGCCTTGATTCAAGAAAAGTCAAGGTCATATTTTTGACAGTAATTACGGTAAAATCTTGCATGCTAACAAATTCTTCTTTTCGTAAACAGTATTTTTCTCTAAGTTTCGTTTTAATTTGACTTCTAACTTTTCAAAAAATTTCTCGAAATGTTGAAGTGTAGATATATGTATAGCGACGATAAATCGAAAATCGAGTGAACATATGGTTCGAGTAGGAATCATTGTTAAGATATAAGTGAGTTCATGACGCGTTGTATGTAATGAAGTTAAACTGTGAGGATTAATACGTTCAAATGTATGTTTCAGCAATTGTTTTATGCTGATCGATTTCAGTGAATGCCAATAAATTTGAGTCGCCTTAAAAATTACGAATTTATAAAGTTTTTAGCCACAAAATGAGTGTGGCTTAAATCAAAAACTTTGAGATATTTCCATAGCGATAGTGAAATGAACCGCTAACTACTGCTGAATTTGATTATTATTTCGATCCATTTGCTATTTCCTTGAATATTTGTTATTAGAATGATGTGTTAGTTGGAAATGCTTTGCAGACTACCGTACAAAACAAATTTGGCCAACTTTGATCAAATTTCTCCATTGTGACATTCTAATATAGTACCACATTGGGATTACTCATGCGGAAAAATTAGCTGAACAAAATCTATTGGCGACAATGGTATTAAAAAATATCCACCTTTTTGCCAAGTTTGCACGCTTGCATAAAACTGCTTTGGTCCGTTCTATTCAAGAATGAAACAACATAAGCCAAAATTAAAAGTGGCAAATCATCTATTGTGAATTGTTTTTTATCTGATCTCGTTAAACATTGTTTTGAATTTTGCTGAAATATTTTTGAAAAATTAATAAAAAACTTCTTTGCAGGAAAAAATGAATGAGGTGAACTTTCTGGAAAAATTCATTATATCTGATAGCAGTTGTAGTGTTAATTCTTTATGACCATTTTATAAATAACAAATTAGAATATTATTAAATATTTTTAGATGAAGAGATTTTTCACTATATTAATACATTAACTTGTAGGAAAAAAATAACCAAATTTTGGCCTAAATTCCTTTTTTGCTTATTTTTCTTTTCACTTGTTTTCGCTGAGACTTTCTTCAACTTTCGTTCAGTTATTATAGTAAATCTATTCATCAGTTTTCTGAAAAAAATATCCATATCCGACAACGATAACTCTTTAAATTTTAATGACTATTTTGCGGAAATTTTTGAAATTTCAAAAAACAAACTATTTTTTATTTGAATATATAAAGATATATATGAATAGATTAATGATGAATATGAGAATTTAGAAATGCGATGAACTGAAAGAAGAACTAGAGATGTGGAAAATAAAGGCCAGTGTAATCCCAGTGACAATTGTAGCACTTGGAACCCTAAATTAGAAAAGTGGCTTCAGCAGATTCAAGAACCAAAAATCTCTGTCCAGCCCATAACTATGCGCAGCTAAGATATTGCGAAATCTCTTAGGCTTTGGTAGAGGACTTGAGGTTGAGGGTGATCATGACCACCCATAGGCTAAAAGGGAATTTTTTACATAGATAAAGCTAATGATTCAGGGATTTTAAGCATCAGTTTAGCTAGTTTTGAAATTTTAATACTTTATTTTAAATTTTAAAATTTTAATATCCAAATTTTAATACTTTCTAATGAGAGAATGCTCAAATTTATTTCTAAATATCCTAAATCATAGGTCTAGAATATTGTGGACCATTTTTTGCTAGATATATTATATACTATAGTTCATAAAATATAAATATAATATGAATTCTGCAATTTCCTTAATTTTATTATTATTTTTTTCCTGTTCTTTTTCTCTCTTTCCCATAATTTCGAAATGTCTAAGGATAATGTAACTTTGGATTAATTTACTAAATACATATTCTACTTGCCAATTTTTGCCGACGCTGAAAAGAAATGTCAAAAAAATTAATGGAATTTTATTTCAATAAATAATGGTCATTGCAACTCTTTAAGTTTATGAGCTGAAAAATATTAGAAAACCCAAAAGTAGATTTAAAACTCAAAAGTTCTAATTATGTACATAGTTGTGTAAATTAGATTTTTAACTATATTAACTATATTAAAAGCATTTACTTATTTGCAAGTGAGAACTTATATCCAACTACACTATCCAATGTTTTCTGGCTTAAAACGCTAAATCAATCCTATAAAAGTGGAGACTCGTTCGACATGATTATTTAATCAAGCGCTTATAAACTTATTCGTTGATCATTTTAAATTCGCCAATTAAAATGAAATTAAAAAAATTATTAGAAGAAAAATGAAACTGACCGAATATGAATTTATTGCATGAATTTAATGCGAGAAAAATGTGGAGGGAAAATTGACTCAAAAAACCAGCATTCATTATGAAAAAATTAAAAAATAAATTTTAATTTATTATATTTTGCTCAATGCATTTTAATTTATTGTGTTTATTATATTATATTTTAAATGTTTCAGTGTTTTTTCATAATATTTAATTAAATTATTTTCAAAAATTAATCTGATTCAATTATGAAAATATACCTCCATGCGATGAAACAGCCGAATGACTGTTGTGCTCATATTATTGCCTAACCTTACCATTATTCTGGTAAGAGGAAACTTGTCACTGGAGATAAAATGAAACTTTTTATTTATTTTTAATTTAAAAATCTTTTGACAGTTTCATTTTGTAATTAAATTAAATTTGAAAAAATCCAAAATATTACAAATATTTGCTGAGAAATTTAAATTTTCTGCAATTTTCATCAAAATATTATTCAATGGTTTCAAGTTAGTATAGTCGGCATTATTGATATGATAATTAATATATGAATTGAATTGATTGAATTTTTGTTGCAAACAATATTTTTTCTTATTGTTTTTTATTTAATATATTTTCTTATTTGTTTTTTTATAGCAATATCATGATAATATCAATGATTACAGATTATATTGACTTCAGTTTGTGCTATTTAAATAGTCTTCCATCACAATTTTTGCCAATGAGCATGAATGCAAAATTTCTAAAAATTGCAAAGATTATATAGACAGCAGAAATAAAATGCGTGAAGATACTAAAAATAAACAAACTTCCAAAAACACAGCTGGTCTGCTAGTACTATATGGATTTTTAAACGAAACATTTACTCTACCAGAGGCAGAATTATGTAAATGAAGATATGAATTATCTTGCAAATTATCTAAATTTTTTAAAAAGTGAAGTAAACTGAAAATAAAATCGTTTTCGGCTGATTTTCCCATAAAATAAAAAATTCATGATGCAAATTTTACTAATAATATTTTAATTTGCCACATCATTCAATTATTCAAATTTTTAGAAAATATTTCACGGTTGTCTTATAGAATTTGCTCACTCTTTTATTCATACGTGGTGTGAAAAGCGGGTATCATTATATATTAGACATTTGTCGTATTAGAAATGACCGATAAAGAAAATCAACTAGATCTATTGGCAGTACCTTCTGATGAGTTGACCACTGGTGGTATAATTGGCGTGGCACAGGTAATATTCACTTTTTATTCTAATCATCTTGATTCCTATTTCGTGCGATAAATTTTAATTAGCTGTGCCAAAGCCAAATATGACAAATATCTAACATTTAACATTAACGTTTCTTATTTTTCATTAGTAAAATTCATGTTATTTGCATGAAATTGCATTTTGTTTTAAGAATTTTAAGAAAAACAATTCTATTACTACTTCATCAAAAAGCTAATTTACGGTCTTTTAACAGGAAAATACGAACAGAGGCGAAAATCAAACAGTGTCTGACATGGAATTAGTTCTGCAAATACTAACTTTAATTTACGAAATTCAATATAATGCTACGAGAGATGCATTATCCTCAATCATTGTGTTGACTGTAATTTTTTAGTTTTTAGCCTATTCATTTAAGGAGTTAAGCAGGATAATCAAACCCACGTACTATATTAATGAAAAAATAATAAATAATAAGTTCGACTTTTATTGGTTATAATGATAAAAAAAAGAATCAAAACCAGGCGACAAATAGTAAAATAATGGATTATCTGGAATACAATGCACCTAATTCTACTAATGGTTTACAGCCCAGTTTACTACAGTTATTAATTGATGTTTATTCGTTAGAGGGCTTACAACAAATGATTGGACAAAATATTTTATCAAATATTCTATCGAATTTTCGTTTGAACAGGTAATTTTGTTTTATTGGTATTTTTAGCGCCGTTTACCATTTTGTTACTTTTTTTATATTTTGTAAGTCAAAAATCCATTTTATTATTCCTTGATAAATTAGTTGATACTCTTGCGTGAAGACTGGTTTAGTAATTCTGAAACAAAGGAGAACAATACGCCAGTGGAGAGAGTTCAAGAAGAAAACTTGAATGAAGGGAAGGAAGCCGATTCTAGAAAGGATGGTCGGTGAAAAATTCATATTTTAAAATAAAATTTTCATAGATGGATGTGCTTGGTAGCATCCTGCCAGAAATTCAAAAAGCATTTCGATACCAAACTTCCCTTTTCTTAGTTTTTTCATTTTTATAAACGATTGTTCGAATTCAATTATTTCATTTGGTCATTTTCATCATCTTAACTATCAACTATCTTAACTATGTTTTTTAGCGAAGCATTGTGATTTACTTAACCAGTTTTGAACTTTTGTTTTCCATAGGGACGAAAAATTGTTCAGCTGATATTCTCGGATAGTTTAGATGAACATACCAAACAACTTTCAATTCCTAAAGAGAATACAGTGGTTCAGCAATCATCTACACCATATTCTTGCACAATATGTGAACGAAACTACCGGACAAAAAGGCTACTGTATTTCCATAATAGGCAGGTGTGATGGCTCAATTCTTTTCAACATAGATTTTTTAAATAATTTGATTTAGGATCTTGGAAGATACTTGGAAGATTTGACGAATTAAGCTGTTTTGTCTATGAGAATTAAATTTACATAAATAAGGCCCAGTTAATAAATATATTGGGCTCGGGCATAGTGATAATATTGTTAAAAGCAGTGAAAAGAAGCTACTCTAACCATTTAAAGAAGTTAGATAAATCAGTTGGCGAGCGCGCGATTAGATCGTAAAAGTAGCTCACCCAAACGCATATAATTGGAGGAAGTCAGGCGACTACCATCCACATATTCAAATATCGCCTCGATATTGCATGCCTGTTGGAAGTTTTCCCAGTTCTGGGTCCAAACTAGTAAGTATTAAGCACTCAACTTTACCACAGTGGTGTTCTAGATAATGCAAAGAGAAATGGAGCGATTATCTGATAGGGTGCGGTCTACTCTAATCGTGTAGAAGCTTGGTAATATTTGGTTACTCTAAAGGCATATTCCGCTATATGCTTTCCGTTAATGCCTCGATGATCAGTGTGAATCTATGTTTTTATGCTGTACACAGATGATCTGCATAAAATTGAGTGCTTAAGCTAAACTTCTACACTTCTCAACAGTATCTCTCGCAAAAAACGGCGTAATTGTGATGACAATACAATGAAACCTCTATGATCGAAAAATGTAGAACTATGGTGGTGAAAGAATGTTATGTATGGTGAAAAGTGTGGTGTTAATGAAGTACGCTTTGTTAATAAGCTTTGCTCATGAGCCTTTTGCCACCAATATATGCTTTCAGTATTATAAAAGAGTATCCAGAAGGCATCAAGCAATTAACATTCCAGTTAGATTGTCCATATCTTGATTAGATGCCTCATGGATTTTAACAGCTACACTTTTGGAACTGTGGATGAATGCTGGTTCACTTGATTCTTGCCTTCATGAATCAACAAAATCTGCCCTAAGGCACACGGCTTGGGAGAAATCACACGAATCTGGGTCTCAGCTGCCCAAGTGTGCTGTGAGAGCTCGAGAGTAAGAAGGTTACCGGCGATTTGCCACAGCCTGGGTAGAACAGAATAAAAATCGATACTGAAATGATATGGCCTTGAATATGGAGATAGTAGTCGATTATGCGAAATTTTATTCTGTCTTCACAAAGCAGCCGAAACTAATAAAATAACCCGAGATAAAGATGGAAATCTCGTAAAAATCATCAAAGATCACCCAGATCTTAATCTACAGTGTACCATTTAATATCTGGACATCATTGAAATCATTTGTGCTGTGCGATTTGAAAGGTAAGGTAAGAAGTGTTCTTCTATTGTCTTTCACACCTATAAAAATTATAGTCATTTGTATTGGAGGAATAAATGCCATATGAATAGAAAAAAAAAATGGTAGGACAACTATCGAGGAACTAGCTTGTTCAAATGTTTTGGAACGTTCTTACCCCTCTTCTTTCACTCTTTCCACTCTTGGTAGCAAGATGCAGAATTCAGGTCAAGATGTTGTTCTGACCAAGTTTTCACGTTGATATTAAAATTTTGCCTTAAATTTCCTATCAATAGATGTTTCATCGATTTGTCGTTCTTTTCGATCGACAAAACGGTGTTCTGGCAAGTCATTCATAAAGTGCAGTGTAGATTTGTGATAAAAGTTAGGAGGAACTTCAATAGAGACTAGACTAGTGTCATAGTTTAAATACTTTGGAATTACTCCCATAATAGACGATTAGGCGAAAGACGGACAGCTATAGGTGCGTTCTTTCCTCTCTTTGAAATCGCCGCGAAACGGAAGTTAGCATCTATCCTGTCGTAGTAAAATTCATGTTTTGGTTGCAAAACATGGTCAGTACTATTCTTGACTGAGGTACATCCTAAGCGAACAGAGCTAAGTGATTGGATCACCCGATTAGTATCTGCACTATTAATATCGTCACAATTGTAACCTATGCTGATTCGGCCATATTCTTCGTAGGCTATAGGAATTGATACATATTTTTTACGGCTTGCTAAATCTTTAATGGATGGCGCCAAAAACAGCAATCAAGACTTGGTTCAATATGTCAAAAAAGACTTTGAATACATAAACGGCTGAACGATATACGGGCTTAGATGGTAGGAAAAGGGGTGGCTTCAGTAACTTTAGATTTGATATCCGATCGAGAGGCTTAGAAATGCTTAGTCATCAGTGGAACGAACCAAACCAGCGATAATTCAAAGCTTCTAGAAGAAGAAGGCATTAAACATTGAGAGTCAATACGACCGAAATCTGCTAAGTTTTCATTTTATTATTTTGAAATATAGTTTGGCTCTCTCCTCTTTCTTCCTGGAAAACCTCTTTCTGGAACAATTCACCTCATTATAAAAGCTCAGGCGATGGCAAAGATCCATCTGATTTCTATCATCAGATGAAATTCTCTGGCAAAGTTGTATAATTTTACTAGACTGAAATCAATGAACCTAAAAGTGGTGAATACTCTTATATTTCTTACGTTAATCAACCACATATTTCTGAAGTGGATAATTAAATTCATGGCTTTAAATAAAATTAAAAAATCTTACAAGGTTCATGATGTAAACGAGATACTTTGCAATGTTTGTGATAAGCCGCTGAAAAATCGTGCAGCATTCACTAAACACCGTCGACGCCATTTTGGTTCAGTGGAATTGGATCATGTATGTATAACCTGTGGTAAGCGCTGTAAAGAAAGGCGACATTTGCTTGTCCATTGTAAAAATAAATCTCATCAGGTAAAAAAAGTGCTTAAAAAATTATTTAAGCATATTGCACTGTTATTTTCAACGCATATAAAGACTTGCCTTAGTAGTAATATTAATAGTATAATATTGAAGTATTTTTTTAGTTTGACATGGTTGTTCTCTATTTTTCTTTGTGATTTCTTACCTCATTTTTTTAGTTTTTAAGTGCAATTCATTGAATACTGAACTTTTCCAGATCCAAGAATGATTCCAAAGCAGTTTTTGAACTTTCATTTTTTTTAAAATGATTAGCAAAATCAAAAAAGAAGATATTATGATGAACCTTTTTAAAGTTTTTATTACCAAAAATTGCATTTATACAATACATATTATTGGGCTTTAACTGGAATTTCAGCGATAATTATTATTTTCACGATATATGAATTTGTATTTAAGTGATAATAGTTCAAATAACATCAAAAAATTTTGGAATGCTATCCTCTGACATTTTATTTTAATCGTGAGAGTTGTACTTCGTCTTCATCTTTTTTTGACGAATCACTGGATTCTGTTTGTCTGTCCTGAAGTGAAACATTTGTGGCGATCCACTAAATTGCAGGGATTTAAATGAAATAATTGATTGACCAAGCTGTTCAGTATTAACAGCAAATGTTGAAAATTTTATCTTGGCTTATAAAGTACCCAAGAAGCTGAAGAAAACAAATTTTAAGATATCAAAATTCAAATTTTAAAATACTCTTACTCTTTCGTTATCCTCTTCATCCTCTTCAAGAACGACATCTTCATCCAAATCTGATTCTGAACTGCTTGATTCTTCTTTTACTATAACGGAATAAATTTAAGGTCAAATAAAGATAATAAAGATAAAATATCACATAATCGCTTTCCTCTTATGGAACATTTATTCATCGCCATAAACGAAAAGGCTATTTTGGTGCTATGCTAAGGGAAAAACGGCTGGCGCTAAACAATATTCGTATACCACTTACGATATTCTTTATTTAAGGCCAAAAGGTTTAGTAAGCTGCATTGCATTGCCAATTAGCAAATAAAAGTCATATTAATTCTTTGTAGGTGAGTACCGTCAAGCGCCGTCTAGATTACGGTTCCGAACTAGAAAAGGTTTCATCTTTCTACATTATTGGCTATTAGGTTTTAAACGCAAAGTAGACAGTAGACGGTGGTGCATAAAAAGGTCCTAAAAATAGTTTGAGAGCAGTGTGATTGATTTACCAAAAACAAGTCAAGCAATAACACTATAGAGATGAAACAAAGTGAAACACAAAATGGATGTATGCAAAAGAAAAGCTACAATATGCGAGCAGAAGATCTCGCAACTCATGTTGAAAAGCTGCAAAATTTAAATAAATTTTAGGCAGAGATAAATTCAGTCAAAAAATAAAATATATACGCTCCAAAATTTTCTGTTCTGTTTTTTTAATCATTCCAAAGACTTGGAACAATCACACCACATAAATTTTCCTAAAATCTATGCGAGGCATTAGATACGTGCTGGAATGTGATATGATCCTAACTGAGCCATAAATTTTATTTTGTAAGATCTTAAAAGTATGATACTGCCTTCTAAAACAATTAAAGTATTAGTGGCTAAGAAGTATGAAAAACCATAAATTTATTGGCCAGCAGATGCAAAAGCATTGAACTAATTGATGACAAATAGTTCTTGTTGATGCCTTACCAAGTATTCCTATTTTTCTGCCCAACCACCTAGCCTTTTGTACTACATCGTCCTGCATTAATTTGAAACACATTGCTATCAGTGCCATGCCGAATAATAAATACAACGCACAAACGATTAGCTTTTCTTGTGATCCTTCACCGAGACTTTGTCCAGGCACAATATCGCCGAAACCAATCGTGCTAAAATAATAAATTGTATCACTTTGATTGGTTGTGAAAGATCCATGAACTAAAAGTGCGATATAACGAATCAGAAAAAATTAACAAAAATAATTTTACCCTCTTTTATATCGAATAATTTAATGACTTAAATGGGTGTTCAACTCGAGAAGATGCAGTATTTTTTGAGAATAATAATGATATTTTAAAGACGGGAACGTAATATTAAATACTTAAGTTACTTACTTAAGTTCATTTAAAAGAATTTGTCAAAATGAAATAGAATCGAAGAAAACCTTAATGTAATAAATGAATAGTAAGCGCCATCAAATAAATTCCAATCTTCCCAAACAGCAAAAAGTATTGCTCCACCAGCGATAAAAAGTACTACAGTAATTATGCCAACTGAAACTGGCATTTTTTCTCTTTTATATGAGGAAGCTGTTTTTCTTAGTGACCTTAAAGACTGTTCATCCGATCGCTCGCTTTCAGCACTTCGAAATGAACGGCTATCAAGCATTTCAGCTCGCATCCTAAATTTGAGAGATTTTAATACATTATTTTCCAATTTTTTCAAAGATGAGAAGCAAATGCTTTAAGAGCGATCATTCCTTCTGATTGTGAAACTCCGTGTCTTATTATGAATCCACTTGCACTTTTACTTCTCTCAAGTAATCTGTGGCAAGTGGGAAATAGAAACAGAATTCAAGAAAACTATCGGAAAAGGTTACGAAATCAATATATAGGTATATAGAAATCAATATATAAGATCATCTTGACAGTGGAACTAAGTTTTCATACCTTTTTGATAATGAACTATCCATTGAAGGTGGCTTTTTTACACTAGGGATTCTGTGAATAACATGAGTATTTGGCAAACATGAAGTTGTCAAAACACTTTCATCGGCTGAAAATTTTTTTCGCTTTATTGTCTTTCGCTGATTTATCAAACAAGCTTTAAAGCTGGAATCGTCTCATCCTTGAAATCACTGGATGAAGAAGCAGAAAAGAGAAGTTTATCATACATTTTGAATGTTTGCTTTATTAGCAATTAATATCAATAGCATTTCCTTGAAATATTTCAAATAACCAAATAATGCATGAAATTAAAAAAATTGAAATATTGTTTCTTCATACCTCCTGGTTTTCCCATTTCTTGACTTTCTTCATCAGCTGATACGTGCTGAAATATGTCGATTTAATCTACGAAAAATCTAAATCTAGATAAAGTCTATTCTGTATAAAATATTTATTATAAAATATTAATATTTATATTGAATATAATAAAAAACTATTTAGAATTCCTTTTCTATAATTAAGTCAAAATTTTCGAGTCAAAATTTTTGAAAATTCTTGGAAGTACTTGGAAATTTTGTACCTTTTTCTTTCCATGGGAAGTCGTGAAATTTGTCATTACTTAATTTTCAAATATTTTTTAACCTGAATTTTTCTTAGATTTTCATTTCCATGATCATCGATTGTGATTAGTGGCAATTGTGCAATGCATTCACCTTCTTTCATGTCTTTTTGCCCATCCGTGGAACTAAAGTTTCAAAGAATAAGTCAATTTTTATTAATAATTTTTTGAATTTATATGGATTCCAATCAAAATTAATTTTTGCTGAAAAATTACTCGATACCGTTAGAGTAATTCTTGGCGGCATGGAATTTATCTAATATTTATCTAAATCATGTGTTCATATATTTTGAAATGCCGGTTCTAAGCTTCATAATTTTTTTGGTTTATTTATAGGAGTACCACGAAATGATGTGTGGCAACAAATTGAAAATTAAAAAATCGATAGCTTTTGACTGTTTCAAGCTATTAATGATTTTCCGCTTACTCGAAACGACTAAAGCGTGCACATACATCGTAAATCGTAAAGAGAAAACAGCACAATATATATTAAAAGAGAAAAAAAACTATTTATTTTGAGAAAATTTTTGCTTTTAAAATCGAATGTTTTGCACGTCTCAAGAGATTATCGTTGCCATTCTTTAATTTTTCATAGCGAGTTTCCATATTTATTGTTTATTGGATATCGAAATAGTATAGATAATCAATAATATTATCAGTGATAGTTGGACATAATTTTCTTTCTAATGAGCCTATATGTAATATTCACAGGTCCAAGCTGTCTTCTTATTTGACTTTCAAAATGAGAGCAGAAATTCTGTCTGCATTTGAGTTCTGTCTGGATTAATTTAAAATTGTGAAGCGGTAAATCGAAATATCCATTGATGTAGCTGAAAAAACGATCTCAGCAAGAATTTTGGTACCTTACCGGACTATTCTGTCAATATTATCTCTGGTACTTCATCGAGTCATTAAGATGTGCTTATTTATAAAAAATTCTGAAACTCTAAGCATCCTAAGATTCATGCCATTGAGAAATTGCACTGGTCTATTCATCAGTTGCACCACTTTAAATCACCTTGTTTAATGAATAATAATGATAAATTTTTTTGATCATTTTCTGTTTATACTATTAGGCATATAAAAATTTGATAGAAATTTTTGCCTTAAGACAGTCGGAATTGATGCAGGTGAATCCACTGAACCATCATCCCTTGTTTTCACTTTAGCCCTGCAATACTATATTCATTAGATTTCAATCAGTCACTTACCAAGATGATGGAGAATAAAAATTTATTGCAGCATTTAGACGAATTTGATTTAGATCTGTCCGACTTGTGAACCCCACTGCAAATTTCAAACGAATCCTTAAGGAATTGTAGAATACCTACCTAATTTGTGGGATAGAAACCTGTCCTGTTATGTTCGAATGGAATGCATTACTATACGTCTTCAATTGCAGATAAGTTCCCTTTGATCCAGCATCGACGTTATTTCCATATTTCTCTGAAAAACTAATGGAAAATTGTTATAACTTTAGTCAATTTTCATTTTTTACTTTGAAATAACAAATTTTTTTTCGTTTTCATCGAGCAACTATTGAAAGTAAATAAAATGATTAGCAGTTGCCATTTCTGGCTAAACTGATTCTGCTGGCTGCTATTATTTTTGAGAATTTTTTGTTAGGGAATCAATTATTTGGAAATAGCAACATTGCTAACGCTAACCCAACAGCAGCACCTTGGCTTATGGAAATAGCAAGATTTATCAAAATGATTTTCGTTTCATAAATTGGCATTCTGTTGTATATAGAGTGCCAGATAAATATCAAGTAAATTTTGCTCCTTGCTACTAATTATTTAATTCGTGATAAAATTTTAATAACTATTTGCAGGGATAAGACCTCTTCATTAGAGATTCACTTTAGACTGGAACTATGTAAAACTCTGCGTTACCAGCCTTCTTTTTTAATAATAGGCTTACTATTATCATGGGATTAGAATCAAATTTATGCTTGATTTCGATCAAGCAAGATTTCACTCAATCATGCTCTTTTTATTCCCGTTTATTAAACTTTGCCCCAACGAACCTTTTCCGAAGAAATATGGTGCATCCATTTCCATTCTTTGTGGAGATAACCTAAAGCAATGAGTAACGCTGCATTTGCACTTGCTAGTTTTTTCTTCTATTCGAGGTGAAAGACTATAAGAAGGCTCGAATACTATGGTTTGCGATCTTGGAGTTGGAGGATATTTATGTGATCTGAACATGCAATATGCATTATTTTATAAAATATTAATTTGCAATAGTAGAATTTGAACAATATTCCATAATATTGCTTTTATTAACTAATAGCAAAAAACATATATTATTGAAGAATTGAAATAACTTTTGTGAAACCACAAACTTCTGCGAAAATCCATATAGTGATCGATTATTATGGATCAGTTTCCGTTTGCCTGGTAAAGATATGGTTTCAAATTTATGTTGCTCATGTCTATTGAAGCTGCGAACACTTCGAATACTCTTCGTATCGCATAATGTCGTCGGTTTCGTTCGACCCCCATGTATTCTTGTTAAACTTGCATGGCGACGTAATACGTTAATCCTTTGATTGCAACGAGATGATGGTGCTCAAATTTCATAATTATATCGTAGAATTCTGTTGAGCTTTGTTAATTCAAAGGTGAAAAATAAGAGAATGGACTTGTTGCACAGAAAATTATATAAAGTGATGGTCTTCATATTATATGAAATATTCATGTTTACGGTTAAAAAAAGATGCTATGATATCGAAAATTTTTATATATTCGATTATTTATTTACAGTAAAGGTAGATTTTTAATGAATTTTCATAATATAATAATTATTTCATGGATGTACGAATTATGCTCAACACAAAATGGAAAAATATTGCAAAGTTGGCACTCACATTGGAGTAATGCATGAAATCTACTGAATATCGAAAAAATGAAAAAAATGAAATATATTTGAGTGAAATGAGAATTAATCACAAAATAAGCCATAAATCGACTCATTTTGTTGAATCCAAAAAAAGTAGAGAAAAATAAATGGTGAAGGAAATTCTTCTTTTTCGATCGAATAATTGATTTATAGGTAAATAGTGAAGAAAGTAAATAGTTAGCATACCGCACTTCTGAATAGGCTTCATTGGCTACTACTGCAGCAAAAAATTTTTGCTCAGCGATAAAAGTACAGATGACCAGCACCACCCCGACTTTTTTAATGACAGGTTTATTCCCACTGAATGTTGGAGTCGAACCCTTGCCACTCAAAGTAATATTAGCTACTGTCAGCTATTCCGCAACTGGGCTATTTTGTCTTCTAATTTTTGGTTTGACAATTTCAACAATTTTTTATTCATTATTTATTTATACATTATTTCTTATTCATTTATTATTAAAATTTTTAATACTTATAATGGTACTTATAATGGCTTTTGTAATAATTTTATAATATTTTTTATCCATTCAGTGGAAAAAAGATATTTGAAAATATGTGAAAAATATGTGAAAATTTTTTGATAATGAAAAATAGAAGAAAAATAAAATTTTAATGAATATTTTAAATGAATTGCATTTACAGTTTCAATATGTATTTCATTTAGTTTCCTTGAAAATAATATTCGACAAATTTCGAGAGAAAAATTATTCATTTTGTCAAATTTTATAATAGAAATAAATTCAAATTTTCAATCCTCTTTTTCTTCGTGACAGTTTTTCAGCTGTCACGAAGAAAATTTTCCAATTTGTTGATATTCAGAACAGAATGGTTTATTATTTTGACTAAGGCCAAGTCATAAGTTGTAAGTTGGATTTTTGTCCTTTGATGGGAATAATTTTACCACTAAAAATGAAATCCGAGTGGTGTGAGAGCTATCCGTGCTTCCGTCACTAAATGACTCATATCTTCTTCTTCTAACGGCTCTCACCATTATTGCTTAGGTTGGCTCCAGTGGCTACAAAGGTGAGACGCTTCCAAGCGACGCGGTCTAAGATGCCATCGTCAACAATAATAGAAGCCATTCCTTTTTCCATCGTCTAATATATTGCTGGTCCATCTATACGTTCAAAATCTTTTCCAACCATATCAGTCCAGATATTAATTGGCCCACCTCACTTTTGATGCCATCCATCACACGGTTTAGCAAGTAACGAAATATGCGACAACTCTTGTGATGGACGTCGGAGAACGTGTCTTAATCAGCGACGATCTATGATAACGTTATTAATGCAAGTGGTATTTGAACGAAGATGGATACGATCATGTGATATTTTATCCACTCGATGGACCCGTAAAATATATGTTAGACAAGAGTGGTGAAAGGTAAAATGTTTTTTAATATCCTTCACTCTCATTGGCCATGTCTTAGAACCATATAGCAAGATCGAACAAATCATGGCTATATAGATGCGGACTTTTGTTTTTATGGTAATTTCATGACTATAAAGGTTCCATAAAGGTTTAAACCGGAAGAAATTTCTGATTCGAGCTATAATATCGTCTTTTGCCTGGCCATTTGGTATTGGAGTGAACCCAAAGTATTTGAAATCGGGTAGTTTCTCACTCGGCAATGAATTTATAAAAAGAGGCATTTTGCAGCTTCTTGCACATAAGACGAAAAGACTTTCGTTTTTTTTCGAAGTAATCTGTCAGTTCGCCATATACTCAGACCTGCGCCAACATACGCTAATAAAATGCCTTTGTAAGAAGAATGATCTTCTCTGGAACACTGCTGCCATCACCCACCAAAGCGTCACTCTATCAATTGAATCATAGGCAGTCGCAAAGTCGATGAAATATGTGATAGTGGGTTGCAAATATTTGAAGCGATGTTCCACCCTTCTTAATATCTGATATCTGATCAGCACCACGCAGTCCTGTCTGAATCCAGCTTAATTATCATCCTGCTGTCCCTTACTTCCATAATTATTTCTCCAACGAAGATTCTTCTTCAGTTGGAAGCTCACAATTGTAAACATATGGTTCAGCGATCGTTTCAGCTATATCAGGAGCAACAGATGGCGCTTCATGGCTAAGTTTGGCTTTAAAGAATTCTTTCCATCTTATGAGACGGTCCTTAATATCTTTGACTGGTACACCATTGCTATCCCTTACCATTCCACTGATAGTCATAGTTGCTTTATGAAGAAGGCGGAATAATTTCCAATTATTGCCTAATCGAGTCGCCCAATAAGCGCATTTCCTACTATGCCCTAGCGTGGAAGTGGCTGACTTTTGGAGACATTCCTTTAATTTGGCCAAGTATTTACCGTTCCAGAAAAGTCATTGATATTTCTATCATTGAGATTCAATAATTCGGTTGGAAATGTGCTCACTGTCCTCGAATTTTTTAGTTTGAGATTTTGGGAGATGCTGTTTTCTGCGAGTTATTAATTTTATGGGGATCTTGGCTCGAACCATGGTCAGATCCATGAAGATTGCCCGTTTCATCTCCGCGATAGGAACGACTATTTAGTACGGAATTCTTCCGACGGCCCCTGACTAAGATATAATCAATCTGGTTGAAGTGCTAGTTATCCGAAGAGTTCCTCTCCAGCATAAAGAAGAAGGCGTTTCCCATCTCCGATGCCATATTTGCCAATTGTAGAGGTCATCACAGCGGCATTATAACCTACGTGCGCACGCCAGTCTCCCTCGACTATGACCATATCGATAGAGACTTTGTTAGCAGTTGAAGTTCCGCATAGAACTTTATCCCAGTCATCTGCCGACAGAGTTGGAGCATAAATACTGATGACCGAGGTATTGCAGGACTCACTTTTAAAGTGGGCATAGGTAATACGGTTGCTTTCTACTTAATCAAAGCGGAATTGTCAGACAATCACTACGTCATTTCATCTCGAGTTATCCGAAGCACCACAGTGATATAGCCAGTATCTCTGCTCTGAACCAGGATTAATAATTGCTCGAGACCCAAAGTGAAGAAAACGGATCTTCGACAAGCAAGCGATATCATACACGATAATTACACAGGGTGTGGACAATGATCATTTGGCTTGCAACGTCCATAAAAGTTCTGACGTTCCACGCTGATACGGCTAAAATTTCGCCACGCGTACAGAGAGCTGTTCCTCTTGATAGGTTTAGAAATGACTCATATGGGATGGTCTTTCATTTTAATAGGCAATGAATTCAGTTAGAAAAATAGCTAGAAGAATTACTGGAGAAAATGAATTCATAAAAGAAGATCAAGAAAATGTTATTTCCTGGATGTAATAAATCATGCTTATAGGAAAGATATGATTTCAAAACTTAGAGAGCTGTTCGGTGTATGCGATGCTAAAAAATTCGTTTAGTTGCTAGCTATTTGCTTTTAACTCAAGTGATTCTGTGGTAAAAATTCCTAAAGATTGACAGCCAACGAACGAATCTAATCAAAAATGGCTAACCATTTATTTTACTTATTTATTTATGAATTTTATCCATAAATTACTATTTTGCTATATTTTGGCTGGAAGTTCTTTTAAACATGTTGAATAATTAACCAGTTACTTTGACTCATGGCGACTCATTAATTCGCTAACCTCTTCGAATATTAATTGCTGCATTAGGGTGATATCGAAAACTGAGCGCTGCTCTTCTTATACGTCGCCTACTTTCCTGCCATCTACAGTAAGCACAACAAAGTTTAAAATAAACGAACGTGAATACCTGAAACATATTTTATAATGCGTCTAGAATATTTTCATTTATATATGTATATATACCATTTCACTCCACGTCAAAAAACTCTATATTCTCTATATTCCCACTGTGTTTTTTGGTTTATCACACATTAAAAGAAACAGAGAATAAAAAAAACTAACCTGAGCAAGAGTTTCGGCAATGTTAGCCAGACAAAGTAGCATGAGAGGTATACCAACCATTGCATAAAGGATGGTCATTCCGCGACCCAGTGGAGTCTTCGGACAAATATGACCGTACCCTACGAATAAAAATAAGTAACTTGAAAAAATTTTTTCAATATTTTTTTCATAATTCTAAAGCCCGAAGGTCCTCACCGTTATCTAAACATTTCGTGACTAAAAACTAATAAATGATTTTACCGATAGTAGTAAAGACTGTAATTGAATATAAAAGGGCACCAGAAAAGGTCCATTGATAAGTAGGTCTAGAATCATCTTTATCATCAAAACCTAAAAAAAATATGAATAAAATGAAAAAATTTAAAAAATATTTCCAGTACAGAATATATCGCTCTGTCTTTATTAGTTCAATTAGATTTAAACTTTATTAGTGCCGAAAGATAGTCACTGGGCCCATATGTATTTAAAGAAAGAAAGGCAGCCATCCAGTTTTTTCGATTTTTCAGCCCAACTTTTTATATTTATTTAAAAAAATAAAACCATAATTGAATTGAACTATTTTAATTAAGGAAGAATTCTATTAATTAAGAGAAACCTTAATTCTTAAAAACTTAATTGTTGGAGACGGTATATGCCACCATTGACGACTACTCATTACTAGATGGCATACTCATTGCAGAAACCAAAATATGAAAATGCAAAGCTAATGAAGCAAATCTTTAGAAATTATTGGTAATAAGTAATAATAAATAATAAGGAAATAAACAAGAAAGCTATGGCGAAAGAATACAAGGACTTTTGAGTAAATTACAATAGGAAAAAAGTGCATTAAGAATATAAGTGAAGGAGTAAAGGAATTGAGAGGACCAAAATAAAATAGACCTGGGCAATGTTATCTAAATCACATAAGCAACGAATAGTTAGTCCTATAAATGAAATACTAATAAAGCCTATCTTCACGCTATTTCAATCCTGAAAAATAGGCACGAAACTATTTTACACTGCAACAGTTCTTTTTCTGGCTAAACTTCACTGATTTATCGGCTCAACATTTGGTGGTAGAAGAGAGAGCAAGTGCAGAGCGCCAGCACCATATTTTTAAAGTATATAAGTCTACCGACAGTATCGGTATTTTGAAATGACAGCATTAGGCCCATCAGTCATTTTACCCTTAAAATAAAACAATGAAATATAAAATTTTTTCAAAATCGAACTAACCTTCAAAATTTACAGCATTGACAAGTTTTAATTCAAAAATTTTGAGCAATTCATGTGCTTTATTTTTAACTTCACTTTCTTCAATAACATCACTTGAGTCTACAAATTTATACAATTCTTCGACGACCTAAATGAAACAAATATTACTAAAAAATGCAGTCAATTTCATATAAACTTTCATGCTTTTCATCGTTTCTCGTGAGCTAATCGAGCAGATATGCTACGAATTGCTTGATAATGATAAATACTGAGTATTATCTAGGATAATCTCTCAATGAAAGAAATAAAAATATAAAGTTAATAAATTTAAAAGAGAAAAAAAGAAAAATAATTAAAAACAATTGAATATAATTAGTAATAAATATAAAATCCCAGCTAAACCACAAAAATTTTGAAAAATTCTATTCATAATTATAATTATTTGATCGATTATTAGGCCATTTTGTATGAAAACTCTTGTCGTGAACTTCATGGTTTTTTCTTGCGTACCAGATTGCCTATCAAATTCATCGAGCCTGCATTATTTTTATAAGTAAACTTTGGTGGAATTTTTAAAAATGAGAGCGATAAAAAACACCTTATTATTGAGATGTGATTGGGATTGGAAACATATGAAATATTTTATGGACATTGGTTTAAGCTTGGACCTCATATGAACAAATAAAGAAATAAATAAGGCAGAATAGCTTTAACTGATTCTGATGGTTGCAAATTAAAAGAAATGGTCGCTCAAAAGGTATTCAGTGAGCAATTAATCAAATCAGCATTCCACCAAAATGCACCCTTTCTATTCTTTTGAAAAAACACACCAGAAATTTTAAACTAACCGTCCATGTATCATTTTCAATATGCCCTTGAAATTTTAGTTCCGCTGGATATTCGATTTCGCGAAACATAAAAGCTCCAAGTACCGCATAGGCAGCAACCAATACACATAAACCAACATGAGATACGACTGAGCCGAATAACTAAAAAAATTTTGGTAACTTTTGATAAGTTGTTGAAATTGAATCAGCCATCATCTTTGTTCAGTCCTCTTTTTATAAACTTCTTATCAACTTGTTATTTCTGAATAACATTTTTTCGAGAAATTTTCATTTAAAATTTTGATTTGTTTTTAGGGCCTTTTAAAACAATAAAATAAGTAAATAACCATGCAAATGGAGCGAATGAGGTATTTACCAACAAATGAGCACTTATTTTAAAACAAAATAACGCTAAGATAACGATTTCTACGAAAGATGCATTACATCTTCTCATGACATAAATAATTTTACGGCAATGCAGAAGGACAGAAATTGGAAATCAAATGCTGGAGAAGAACCAGCGCGCTTTTGTCTCCCAAAGATTATTATTCCAAAGTCAGCAAAAGGATTTCACCAGCGATCGATGGAGTTAGCCGAAGCAGAAATGTAAAAAATGTATTAAGAACAGAGATGTTAAGAAAAAATGAAATCAAACTTATTCAAATCAAACTGCTTATTTATTTGCGATTTTTTTCTTTTTTTTACGGAATAACGAATATTTATTTCCATTTCCATTTTTTAAGCATTGAATAGCAATTTGGAGTATGAAAGCCGAGCAAAATAAAAACGATGCAATAAAAAAGACTATTCATTCTTAATAATTATGAAATAAGCCAAAAACGAATATAGGTTAAGGTAAATTTGAAAGGCATAATTGTTAAGCAAATATAATATAACTGGTTGTTAGAAGAAATGAAACTGGTATCGTTTAGAAAAGCAATTATCTGCAGAGGAAGACATTTTTAGCTAGAAATTTAAATCTAGCAGTACTGCTTGAACTATTTGAAAGAATATCCACGAAAATGAATGAAAAGTCAAGGAAAAATTTTAAAAAATTTTAGTAAGGAAAAATTTGGAGGAAAAAACTTGTGATTTTGGAAATCTGAAAAATTGAATGGATGGATAGAAAAAACAACTGTAATAATCAATATTTTTAATTCAATACGAAATAATTTAGTATGAGCAGATGAAAGCAAATGGATTTAGATTGATTCTATCATAAAATATAATAGATAGGACGAATAGATAAATAAGCTTTTATGGATGGTTAAAAAAGGAATGAAAATTCTTTTCCTAGCAATAGAAGAAATAATTCAATTAGAGTTTCAAAATTAACATATTTTAAAAGAAGAATGGAACCGAGCATTTGAAGAGCATTTGAAGTATATACTATGGAGTTTTTCAATTAATTTTCAGAAGTGAAAAGTGGATTGAGTTTTAAACTTTTCTCCTCTCGTGCATTTAGATATAATATTCTGCTATATTTCGGGAAGCAGTTTCATGAAAATAATATAGAAAACTAGGCTGAGGTCATGGATAAAATTTAGGCAAAAAATGGGGAGATTTAGCTAAAAATCAGAGTAAAAATAGAAGTCGAGATATGAGTAGATGATGAAATGATGACTTACCCTATGTAAAAAATTATAGGTTCGAAGGCAACATGAGTGAATCTCATCGCGCATTGCCTAGTGCGCAATCGCAAAATAAGATTTCTCGCCGTGCTATTAGTTGAGGAAGAAATTGAATGAGCCCATCCAGCTCGAATTCAATACATTTGTCACACGATTCCACACTTCATTGCTAGCATTTCTTAGTCCGCCCCGGGACTTTGAATTTGTCAATCGCATTATATTCGAACAAAATTCAACAAACTAAAACACAAACATTTCTATGCATTTCAAAAGTCTGAAAGGTTTTTTTTTATATTTAAAAAAAAAAAAATTAGACAAATAGATGGAAAAAAATCTTTCATTACGTTTTTTTTGTTAATTATTGCGTTTATTCAATTATTATTTTGGTGGAAACCATATTAAATTATTTAACAATTATTGAATAAAAGCAAAGCACGGAATAGGAATGTTTGGAAATATTCCTTCCAAAGTTTCAAGTGCATTAAACCAACAATGATGCCTGTCAGAAGGATTATTAAGAAAGCAGATTATTAAGAAAGGATTATTAAGAAAGCGACAAATTGTTCGAGAAATTCTTTTCAGCTTCCAGGTTGAGCTTATTGTATCGCTAAATTCAATCATTATAATTTCTTACCGTAATAATAGCCAATCGAGTGAATTTAACCAGAAATGAGCATTAACCATTTATCAAGGCTATGAATTATTTACTATAATCGTTTGAAATGATTAAAATTCTCATAATTTTTTTGATTTGCAGCAGTAGTAACTTGAAAAAATTGCTTAATGATAGTTCATAGTTCATATACATTTGATATTATACATTAATATGTTAATACATTAATGTAAATGAAAGAATAAGCAGGATTTGTGATTTTATTTGGCATTCCTCAGTCATTTTATCCATTATAATAACTTTTTATTTTTATTTCTATATACTATATTTTTTTGCATATTTTATAATGCAATAACGTTGTTATCCATGAAGTGGCTCCATAAAATTTTTCGTATCTTTAAAGGAATTCTCAAAAATTTCAATGATTTTACTTTTGACTTTAAATATTTCTCGAAATTCATAATGCTGATAGTTTAAACGATGTTTAAGAAAGGCGGCACCAGGCCAATTGTATTCTATTGCTGACAAGATATCGGATTGGCGCTGGCGTTTCATCTGTACTTTTATCTCTGGATGACTCTTTCTGTTACTCTTTGCTCTTTACTTTTACCCTTTGATTTACCCTTTGAAGATTTCTTGTCTAACAGTCAGTGGAGTCAGCCAACGCAGAAATAGTGAGTGCTGTTAAAAGCAGTTCATGCCAAGAACAAATATTAGCAAACGCAAGTGAAGATTTAAAAATAAACTTTGAAGTACTCAACCAAGCTGCTCTTGTTTTGTCTTACTATGCGAATGTTAGGAGCGAATCTTAATTTCCGATTACGAACTAACCGACTGTTTGCTAAGAATCTAAAACTCTAAAAAATCACAAACCTGCTGGATCGCATATTTAGTTATACTAACCATTTCCTAATTTGATAATCCTTGAGGCACTCTCGATTTCGAATACTTAAATAATTCATTGGATTAAAAGTGAAAGTAATGTCGGGGAAAAGGACTGCGCATTTCAGCTTTAATCCGAACGCATTTTTCTATTAACTGTTATTCGATTGATTCGTCGTCATTTTTGATTCGATTAACTTGTAAATAATAAGATGATAAGATGAAAAGCAAAAATAATGAGAGCCACCAGAATTTATCGAATCTTCTATTTCTTCTGAAAAGCTTCATCATATCGATTTTTTCTTGATTTGCTAGTTTTCATATAAGATTTTGTCCGAGTTTTCATTTCTTTACTTAGAATTTATAAGTGTCTCCTAACTATCCATATTTATCCAAAAAATGTGGTTTTTCTTGTTGTCACTGGAAAAATGCGGTAATCTCGTATTTTTCGCGAAATGCTCTTTTTCGCAAAATTTGCACTAATTAAGCAATTTACTTTTAGTGAATAATTGTAATGATAAGAAATTTTAACAGATGCCACAAAAGGACTCTGCTTTATGCTTTTATTAGTGGCCGAATAATATTGGTAACACATTTGTCTTTTTTTTTTAAGGAGAGCCCTGACCATTACTAGTTAGACTCGCTCCTCTGGTATGTCAAATATGCCAGAGAATCTAGCGATAGAAGTGTAGGTGAGTCGTCAGCATCTCCTGGATTTTGAAACAAGGAATAAAAGCATCAGCATTCCGAATTGACCAATTATTAAGCCATTCTACTCCCTTGCCCCTGCATCCGTAGCGAAGGCATTTCGTCTTCACAGTAAAAGGCAATGTAAGTGCGGTGAATGGTATTTCAGCAAAATCTAAAATAAATTCGAATCTCTTACACTGTATTCTGGAAATACTATTAAGCAGAGATATACTTTCGCTGATGATAAAGTCGGCTCTCTAATTGTTATCACGATATTACATTCATTCAATTTTATTCGATCAGAATTTATAACATCACACACTCGTTCACAAATTCGGAATTCAGATGTTAACGAAGGAAATTTTCGAGAAGTTCTCGCTGAATTTTACTGAATTAGGTGGGGCATTTACATGTGAGTACAAGGTTTTTCCGGTTTCGAAATTGGATAAATTTTTACCCTGATTAGGATTAATCTTCACTTCGTTGCTCCATCCAAGCACTTAAATGATTTCATTTCAGTTTAAAGCTTTAGGTTTGCAATTTTAACTGCTAAGTTCAAGTAGAAATTCGATAATATTTATAAAGTTCAGTAAATGCATGCATTAAACAATTTTCCATCTGGCTTAGCTCTAAAATATGATAAGAATCCTTTCGCCAAAGCGTTATTTGGAAATAATATGTACATCCATAGATGCACAAAAATGAAATTTGAAGAAAACTTTGTAAAGTTTTTATTGAACTGATGTGTCTTTTAAAATCGATTATAACTGCTTTATTTCGCTAACAACTTGAAAATTGAACCAGTAAAACAGAATGGTTATTATTTCGACTGAAACCGAATGCTATGCGATCGGTTTTCTGCTTTTCGACAAAAATAGACTTGGCATCATAAGAAGTTAAATACGGGAAGTGCTAAAGATCACCCGTCTTCTTCTGATAGCTCTCACCATTACTGGTTGAACTGGCTTCATTGGCCAAAGGTAAGGCGTTTCCCAGCTGCACGATATGATGCCATCGTCGACAATAAGCAATCGGCAATAAGTCTATAAAAAGATGCATTTTATCAACTTCTTGTCTCTCTCCCGTACTTCCATAAGTCTATTCAGTAGTAGGGAAGCAAAAATTTTTGCTGAGACGTCTAATAGGCAGATGCCTCGATAATTATCGCAGTATGTCCTACCATCTTTCTTGAGAATTGGGAAAAGAATTGCTTTGCTCCAATCATCTGGTAATATTTCTTTTTCCAAGAGAGTAAATTTGTTGAAGGTAAGTTATGAAGGACGTTGGGCAACATTTGAAGAGTTCAACCCAGAGACCACCTTTTCCCGGAGTCTTATTGACCTTAAGTTTATGGATGGAGACCACTTATATTTTACAAAAGAACCAGCCACATCAGTGATAATGACTATGCACGGTGGAGGAAGGAATAAGGTATATCTGCAAATCTTATGGATGCATGTTTATTTTGTTTTATATATATCGTAAAAATTTTTGTTCAATGAAATGGTTTTTATACTTGTGCAAACAAAAACAAAAATCAATTCAAACAACAAGAGGCTTTTAAATTTGCAGATATTTTGGATAAAATAAAGAGATTAATGATGCGTTAACTAAGATTTTATAGGACTGTCTCGTAATATCAATCATGTAAACAATCCTCGGCAAGAATGAATGCAAAGAAAAAACTGATACATTGAGTTGGCTCAATTAGATCCAAATTTGGTAATTTGCTCATAGACCAGCAGATATCTCCAAAAATATTATAAAAAGTCGCTAGTAAGTTGCTTTATCTAATAATTACAGTAGCAAATAGTATGGTATGGTTAGATTGTGTTAAATTAATTGCTTCAGGAATTTGTTGAGCAAATTAGTTAGTTAAAAAATTTCAAAACGGTCACACTGGAATTTTTTACTGTTTAAAAAGTTTATTGATGGTCTGTGAATAGATTTTCAAAATTTTAAAATTAAAAATTTTGAGAAAAATGTATAATCTATTTGCAAAATTATCTCGGAAAACTCAGAGACATAAGAAAAATAAGACAAATTTTGGATTTTTATCAGTTTATAAATTTATTCTGTGAACTGCTCTTAGATGTTATTCGCATTACTTTAAAAATATATGAAAACTTCGGTAATTTACTCAATTTTATCGTTCTAGAAGCGATCGATTTTATTTGGAAGAACAATTTGAGTCTTTTATTGCTTTCTGGTTTGGCTGAAAGCAATCAGCATATGTACATAGGTTTTATGTCAAATAAATTGAGCACATTCCGGTTATTCTATCGTTATGTTTTGATTTGCTGCAAAATCTAATTTAAACCTCACGATGAATGAAAGCTATGTAGCATATTAATTTTATCCAGGCGAAAAAAGATCAGGTAGACTTATTCTTAGAACCGATATTCATGATTTGATGATTTGAAATTTACTTCTAAAGGCCTTATTCCTATAAAACAGCAACCTTTCGAATAATTCCGATCGACAATAGCTGATTGCAATCTCGACTCGGAGTCTTTTATCATGGTAATTATCTAGTGATACCGCTCTTTTAAATTACCTTTATCATGATTTCAAATCATTATATGTCGCACTGAAATTATCCTATCTATAAAAAGAAGTAACTTACAATCTTAATGAAATTATGGCCTTAAATAAAAATTATTTATTAATTCGTTTTAACATTAGAATTTACGAAACATAAAGATTTTTTATCCAATTCATTACATTCCATTTTTTCAGGACGAGTGAACTAGAAATAAAAATTGTGCACTGAAGGCAAACAAATAAGCATGAAAGCCTTAAAATTTTATAAAACTCCTCAATTCTATGATCCCAATTGAACACAAATCAAATTACAAATTGTGCCAAATTTGCACTAAATTATGAATTTGTTTTAAAATAAATTATCGATTACCAGTTATCGATGATCTAAATTATAGGAAGTTGTCGTAATGGCCAGCGGAGCCAACAATATTATAAATTATGCATTTTAGGTGAAGAACAAGGTAAGATTAAGGTAAATAAAAATAATTTCCTTGTAAATATTGGGGATATGACGATTCACAATCCATATTGCTATTTGTGAAATTCGATCTGACCAAGGCAATAATGAAATCATTCGAAGAATGTGAAAATTTATAATAACCCGCAGATGTTATACAAGCCATATTGCTATAATTTGAAAATTTTAGATAATCACAGATTAAACTTATTTTTTCACCAAAGTATTTCGAATTTGGTCGAACAAAAAGGCAAAACAGTAGAAAATCTAAATGAACAGAAAAATTTAATCAGTAAACGAAGTTAACTATTGTGAGCTATTGAAGGTTCCTTCATCCAACATATCATTAAAAAACCCAAGTTATGCTGGCGATCCACTTGGTTCATCGCCAAGTAACTTTATAGTTCCTCAAATTTCGCGCCAACTAATTAGATTAATAGTGAATAGTTTAACTTTTATTTTAAATTAATTTTAAGTGCAAAAAACTATAAAATTAAGATCATTCTAAAACTTTAAAAATCGACAGCTTACTTTTTTGAGCGTGAATAACAGACATGGGGTGTCATACACCTTGAGACAACTAATGTTAAGTGCTCGCGATTGATTTCTTTTATACAGCTGTCAAAATCCTCGAATGATTCTGTGGAGGATCTGTTTAGAGGGATTCTTGATATTTCTAATAATTCGGAATTGATTCGATCAGAAAATGCTCTAAAACAAAGTTATGCTTATATGGAAATATTTCTTTTGGAATAAAACAATTAGAAAAGAATTTGGCGATTAGCAAAAAAAAATAAAGGCTCTCTTTATATTACATTCAGAAAGTTAGCATAGTCTGTATTGTTTAGATTATGGCCATACTCAGTACTAAATATTAAGGATCATCCTTGAATATTACCAAGGCGTCCTAAATGTGTTTCTGTCTCAGTGGCTCTCTATTTGAAATATTTCATCCTAACTTTCATTTTAATTTTCTCATTCTAACAACCAGTACAGTGAAACCAGACACGATAAGTAGAAGTATCAGAAAAAGAACAAATTATCAGCAAGGATGAATAAAAATCGGCATACTTATTAACTTTATTCATTAAAAAAGTCATGCTGACGAGGCTTTCATGCCCGATTTCGCGATGTGAATGGCGCATATGGTAGAAATGACCTTTATGACATGGAATATGAACCTAGAAATGATCCGTATTACTGATTTATTTGGTCAACAATGCATGTGTTGAATTTTTTGATTTTGGCATTTTTCTTTCCAATCTATCATTTAATAGGTTGCCTAATAGTTTAGCCTTGTTTTATTCAAGAGAATAGTTCTTTCTTGGTTTACCTGAACATATCCAAATCGGTGTATTCCAGTTTCGTGCATATTTACTGTATCCACTCGATCTAGAATTTTTTAAAAATTAAATAAGCTTTGAAATTTCATAGTTGTAAATTAAGTGAAACTTTAAAAAATTAAAAAATTCGAATAATTCTTATGACTATTCACTTAACCGCCATCAGAAAACAGTAACCAAGTAAGCCTCTCTCAATGAAATTAAAATACTGCTTTTTCCTAATTTTATTATTTTATTTTCCTATTTTAAATGAAGAATATAGCGCGTGAAATCAAAAAACAATAAATGAATGGTGAGGCAAAGCAATAATCTTTCAAGTGGCCATCTTTTATACTGTAAGCATAAAGATTAGCGATTTCTAGTTAGGGAATTGTTTGGCGATAAAGATGAGTCGCCAATACCGTCTTGACGACATATTTACGGGAGTTGCATCCTTGCTTTTCAATACGACAATCTGAGTAACTATCCACTCAGCTATGATGTATGCCGTAATATAGGTCTATAGGTTTCTAGTCCTTTAAACATTTTCTTGGAACTTATAAATTAAAAGTTTTTCGAAGGAAAAAATTTTGCGTAATGGGAGTAAATTGGTGTAGAAATAAAATGAACTTGCGATCGCGATCACACGAGTTTTCATGCGCCAAACTTTGCATGTCGATTTCCACCTCGTTTTTTCAAGGAAATTAAAATTGAAATTCGCTAAAGTTGTGAGATTATTTCCTTCGGGAAGCACAATTTGAACGTCTTTGTGTTCGAATAGAAAAGAACCAGCCTGGGGATGTTCGATGAGGAAATTCTGAATTCAATTATCATAAAAAAACTAACCATTTGGATGAAATTCGCATGCTCTAAATTTATCAGATAATGATTTCGAAAATTTAAAGTCAAAGTCAAAGAATTTAGGCCATTTCTTCTTCTTCTTCTTTAGTGGCTAAATCAAAATTTATAACTATTATTCACTTTCGATGGCCATCAACCAGTGATTTCTTTAAATTACCTGGAGGAGGTCAACGGCATTATTTTGGTAGATCGTAGCAGGGTCGACTGGTAGAAGCAAGTCATCAATATCTGTGAAGGCTACCATTTCTGCCCATGGTTTTACGTAAAATAAACAGTTAACATGAGATTCTTCTATACCTGCATAAAAAATTGAAATTGGTCTAAAGCATTAAAATGCTTTGCTTCATAATTTCAATAAGATAACGGTTAATCTTCCAAAGATTAAACCTCGTGATAAAACGAGTCCATTAGGATTAACATCAGATAAGATAGGCAATTTCGGCCAATGACGAATTACAACTAAACCTGAAAGATGAATTTTTATTGGAATAATTAAAATAACTCAGGACAAGTCAAAGATTAAAATGGAATATTTCCAAAGTTTTTTGAAGAGAATTATTGCATTAATTTATAATTATTTTATAATGAGCAATTTATAAATAAATATCCAAAAATTGATTAAGATTAATGGTTTTTAACCAAAATTTTTATAGCAATTGGTTGTTCATTTTTTTACTTATTATTTTATTATTGACGATAAGTTTTTGCCAGGGACTCTTAGAGCCAGGGAGAAATATAGGTAGATAGCATTACCCGGAATTTGTAATTACAGCTCTCGAGGAGCAACGGAGTTCCTTCTCAAAATAATCTGAATTACTGCACACTATCATGCCCCTCTCATTGTAAAAAAATCAAATGATCCTATTGGAAAATATAAAAATTTGTTAAAGTTGTAAAATAAAAGAATTTCAAAGACTTAAAAAATTAAAATAAGATCCTTAAGATTCTTCGTATGATTGTTGAAAATCAGAAAGTTAGTACAGGTGAAAATTGAATAAAGAACGAAAAATTTGGAAAGTTTCCAAGCCATTGTCGTTTCTTCAAGAAGTATTAAAATTCATGAAAGCTTGATTGCCTCTACTAGCTATTAACAGTGAGACGCTTTCACCAGTGAACCTTTGGAGCCTTATGGTTAATCAGGAATGGTAAGTGCCCTTATATTACTCAAAGAGAAATTTTGTAAGTGATACTTGTATAAAAACTATTATTATTTTACTATTTATTTTATTCTCAAATTTATTGAAAAATCGAAGACTAGCTTTAATCCAAATGAAGCTAAATACCTGCTTTTTCGTACTGTTTCAATATAGTATAAACTGCTTTTGTTGCTGATTGTATTGGTACTATTAACTTTGTTGCTCCTAAAATTAACCATGTTTCGATGCCCAACAACATCGTTTGCCAGTCGGTATAAGTGTACATCGGTGCAATACATACCACAAGTTTATGGCGCTCATTGATTAGAGGTGGTTCGACAGCTATTTCAATAGAATGATTAATATTGCTGACAGTACTTACTCTAAAAAAAAACAAAAATAGATCTAAAAAACTGATAATTGCAAAAGTTTATTTTTTGTTAATTGTCACTTTTTTGAACTAATGATTAAACTTTTCATATGTGGAGAAAAAACATTCCACTTATTGCTTTTAAATCCTTACTGAAATAGAGTTTAAAATTCTTACCTTATTGATTTCGGAAATGCTTGAGCAACGTGACATTCAGCTATATGACCACTCCATGAGCAAACATCGGTAGCAGCCCGTTTTCCTTTATGAATTCGCTGAATATGTGCTCGTGAAATCGACGTCTCACCATTTTCATCATTCGAAAAGCAATATAAACTATGGCTCATTCTTGAATCGCCAATGAATTGCATGACCTTTAAGAAAAGAGTTTTCAAGGACGTTATCAAGTAAAAAATGGAACATTCCTCAAAATTCATTAGATAAAATTAATATGATGAATTATAAAAGCTTACCACAAAATGACCATCTACATTTTGTTCGTTTTTCATGCGATTGAAAGTACCAATTATGATCGGTCTTAAGCCGATTTGTTTATATAAAAATGAGTCAGCAAGATTTTTTAAGGCCCATATATTTGTGGTACGATAATAAATCGCTGCACCAACAAGGAATCCACATAATACAACACAGATTTTAAAGATTATCCTTGCTCCAAATAAAGTATAAATCGTTAATGGATATAGACTTAAACAACCGTTTCTATTTATGAACAATTTGAGCAGAAAATTTCGATATTTCATAGATCTTAATTTAAATTCAACCATAAATGAGAAAATTTTCACCAAAACCTTTAAATTTGCTAAAAATATTTAAATAAAAAAGAAAAACATGTGCCATTACAATTCTATCTCTGGTTACCTATCTCTGGTTCAAGATTTCTGGCGAAAGCCTATGGAAAGGTTTTTTCAAAGGAATACTGGATCAAAAAATTTTTGGAAGATATTTTCCTTAATACGCTCAAATATAAAAAGTTTGACGCATATAACTAATAAAGCCTAAGAATTCCCTAGCAAGAATTTCCCATCATAATGCACTCAATGGAATAAGCGTAACCAAAGGTGAGCGCTGACCACTCACTTTATAATTTTGAGAACGAAACATTTGCGCTTATCGAAATTAATTTGGCAATCGGCATTTGTAATCAAACAAATAGTTAATGCATTCGTAGATCAGATAAAAAGAATAACAGAATCAACAATTAATTTGTTATTATGCGAAGAAAATTTAGACAAAGGGAAAATTTCGAAATTCGAAATTTGCTTAAATTTATTTTATCATATGCTCCAAGGTTTAATCTAAACCAAGGTTTTTTGAGAAATTAGTAACAAATAATCGGGTTTTCGGAATTGTTTCTAAAATCCCATTTTTTAAGATGTTTCATCCATGAAAGTTTAGAAATTATTTTTTCAAAAAAATGAGCGAAAAAAATAAGATAAAAAGTTTTTTTAATATTTCATTTATATTTTTAATACTACAAATATTTCCAAAGTTTTCTAAAAATTATTATATTTCAATAGCCAAGAAGAACTTATTTTATCGCTTTATTGCGAAAACTTATTCTTAATTGCTAAGTTTTACCTAATTAATTATTTATATATTAAAAAGTTTTTGCTTTTCGTTTCTCAATCTTCTCGAAGCTTTCAAATTTGATTTTACAATTTTTGAAATAATTTTTAATAAATATTTTTGAACAGATGTATGCCGAATTGACTAACAGTCGCTTAAAATATACTTTTCGAGAAACACTTCGAGAAATTTTAAATAAACTTTTTTCAAATGAATTTTTACAAAATTCTAACTTTTTATTAATCAATTAAAGACAAAAATTAGGAGGGGACAGCAAAGAAAAGTTTATTTGCATCAACATTTTAAGATAAGCATCGAAATTTTTTCGACTAAATTTTGCAATTCCAAATTTCGTTTTAAATTTCTATGAGCATCATAGAGCGTATGTTTGATAATCGCTCTGAGTACTAATATCTTTGCGAGTATAATTCTTGTCTTATATGGGAACTGCAATGACTGCACAAATTTTACTTATTTATTCAAATCGGCAATCGAAATAAAGAAACTCAATATTCATTTCATCACCACTAAATTTATTATGTGTGATGAAAAGCTTATATTGGTTTGAAATTTTTTGAAGCATTTTAAAGCATTTTAAGTTGAAAATGCTTGAAAATTTTGTTCCAAAATTTGTATCCAAAACTTTTATACTTTTATTACGCAACTTTTTCTAGGATTTTTAAAAGCAATTCGAAGAAGTGCGATAAGAAGTCAAAAATTATGGTCAATTCATGATGAATAACAATGATTCATGCATAGGGTAACAGTGACAAATCTAACCAGATTTCCCCCAAACTATTATTTTCTGAATCATTGCTGGCTAATTTTGATTTTAATTAAAAACTAAACAATTTTACTGAGACCACTATGTTTGATGCCAATATTTATTGCATATGCACTGAAAGGTAAATAAAGCTCTATATGTAAGTCGAAATAAAACTTTTCACTAATTGACATGAAATATTTCAGAGTTTTGATGCTTGTATTTAATCGCTTTGGGGATAGAATGGCCCAGTGGGTTGTTGCTCGATTAGGAGCGCCGATGCTGAGGTTCGATTCCGCAGGAGTAAACTTGTACAAAAAATCCAGGCGATGCTGGCGATTAACCTGTATTTCTATCGCCAAAGGACTCCATGGCATATTGCTCAATAAGAAAAGCCAGTGGAGCAAGTTTAAACAATAATGGTGAGGAATTAAAAAAATTTAAAAAAAAAATTTAGCTAGCTATAATCGTCGTTCTATTCTTCTTATTACTGTTCGATATGAATTCAAGCTCATGGCGTCTTCGCTTTAAATAAATTTGAGGAAGCCTTATCCTTTCTTAAATTCAGTGAATAAAGGATGGAAGTAACAATAACGTTCATAGGAGATAAAAAAAAAAGGAAACCTGGGGAGAATCAGTGCTCGGTGCATCATGCTTGATTGATATAGATGCTAGAAAATCGAATGGCAAATAACTTTTATAGCACTAAAGGGATTCCAATCTATTTTCTTAAAATTTCGATTTTATTCCATAATTAAATTTACTTTTATTTGATCGAAAATTATTCTCTTCTTCTAAGCTAGTTCATTTGTATTCTATTCTAAGCGATATTAATTCAGTCTGGATATCTTCATTTTTAATCAAACTTTATTTATTCGCTTTTGCTTTTCTTTTTATTACCTCAGTGCAGTATAAAAATATAAACTTTGCATAATTTTGTTTTCCAGGTTTTTTTGCTTCACATTTAATTCACATTGAATTTCTCATTAAATTTATAATCTCAGTTTTTAATTTTGCACTAAATTCTGTCGCAAAATCCTGTTCAATGAAAGGAAATATTTTTAATGCTTTTCATTTTTTTTCTTTTCATTAACTATAAATCCCATAGGCTATTTACTGATACCTTATCTGAAAAATTATCAATTTGCTCAAATTATTATTTCATAAACATTTTTGTTCTTAAAATAATATTCATGTCGAACAAATATATTGTCACAAGAAGAGGCGGTTTAATTATGGGAAGTCAATATCGGAAAGGTTTTCGAGGCAGTTTTCTTTGCTTTATAATGAAAATGGCATAATCATACTTTATTTTGGCATTTTTAACAAGAAATGCACCAATTTTTTATGCGAACTTGGACTTATGGACTTGGATAGATTTAAATATCAATCTAAACTTTAATTTGCCAATTTTCTCTTTCAAATGACTTATCAAGAGATTTCAACTTATCTAAAAAACGATTCAATTCATCAATATAGGAACTGCGAAAACATTTAAATTAGCTGTAAGACTGCAAGAATATTTCAAACGGATCTACTCGACTATACTCCTATCACAGAGTAACTCGGCGAAAACTTCTCATTATGCTAGCAGCTAGTGAAACCAGGAAATGGTGAAGTTTATTTACTTGCAAACGAAATCATATTCATATTAGAAATTTAAGCAAGAGGCCTCCATTGTTCGATTTGATGTGCTAATTGCTTGTTCGCTTGTTCATTTATTGCTCATCATGGACGAAAATCGAATGAAAAACTCGCTAAATAGCAATAGGAGATGAAGACATTCCTTCGACGACGGTTCAAATATGCTCGTTTTCTATTGAGAAATATTTATGTTCTACTTGTTTATTTTTTGTTCTCAAACAATGTGGCTTGTCTTCCCTTTTTAATTTCTCTGCCGCAAAATGCTAAGAACTAAGCAATCGTACACGAAACCCTCAAACTTAAGTATTTAAGCTTTTTATTTAGAAAAATTGATAAAATAAGCTAAGAAAAACAGAAACATGCATCACGTAATGAGTTATGGCGCTCTTTGCTAAATGATCAGAAAAATAAAATAAAGAAAGAAAAAAATCAAATTTAGTTGGGGCGCAACCACAGGTGTATCATCGCTCACACGTTAATGGCAATTTGTTCGGTAGACATGACGAGCCTACTTGATTTGACAAATCCAAGTTATAAATTTAAAAAACATTATTATAAATAAATTATAAATATTATTTAATCGCATTTCGAAAGTGATATTACTGATGTGTTTTCTAGCGCTAATATTTATATCTATACTAATGATTATAAAGTTTATTATGCACATAAGAGATCGGATAACTTATCATTTTGCAAATAAATAAAAGGAATATAAAGCAAAATAGAGTAGCAACACTTAATATTCAGCAAAAAAAGGAAGCCGAAGTCGTGATAACTGTGGCTTACTAAGATACCTATTAAGATCATTTGCTTATTAAGATCATTTGCTTATTTGCTCATTTGCTTACATTGCGAAATCCGACTAGTGGTTTGAGAAAGCCAGACTAAAAGGCAATACTGAGGCATTGGTTATAGTAGCATAAAACAAACACATCGTCAGATTCATCGAAGCAGGGACCTACCATACAAGATTATAGGACTCTAGATGCTCAAAAACGCCCCATGAATAATCTAAAATTAAGACCATTAAGATCATTAAGACCTTATTAAGATCCACTTCCGAGAAAAGTCCTCAATCGTCGTTCACTAATTTTAGAACCAAATTTTTCGAATAATTTCGGGATAAACAATAAAAGAAGATCAAACGAGTTGTGAATATGTTCTCTTTCATGCTTTCTCTAAAATGGGAAAAACCTTGTCACTATAGAATATGCAAAGTAAGTAGAATATACTTATTTGCTTGGTTAACGAACTACTTGATGCATCTCACTGGCTTTCTCTTTTCGCCGAAATTGATGGTGACGTTGTTTGTTTGCTATTCAATGCAATAAAGTTGTATTAAGGCTGAAGAAGACAAATGGTTAAAGTATTCCACGCAGGAGAATCGTTTATTTCAATCACTTTGTTATTTCCAATAATATTAAAGTCAATCGATTTAGTCTTATCCATATAACAATGTTATGAGATATATTTTCGTTTTCAAACCACTGTTTTTTGAATATCAATGCTCTTCTCCAATGTCTTTGTTGGTTTATGCGTATCCGTATTATTGGTAGAAATATTCATTCGTAAATTGGCCGATAAGATTTCATCTCTTGAATTTTTTATACTTTTCCGTTATATTACTGCTCGTTTTCAAAAACTTCTGCTTATACTACTTTCGAAGAGCTTCATTAAGTCTTTATAATAATTTGCCAATGTTTCGCAGCATTTCTAAATCCTCATTTTAATAGTGTTTGAGAATCGACCGCATGAATAGTGGTTCAG